CATGACAAGCTATGCCTTGTCAGAGGAGCTCCCTGTATTTCACTCTATGTGGACTAAACATAACATTTATGTGTCTCAGATTATCATGTTACTTTAAACATATAGAAAATCAGACCCCTTCAGTTTGTTGTAATATTTGATCATGGTTGGGAAGAACACTGCATGCTGCTATCTGTATCAAAATATGTGTGTTCTTGTCAGACATATTATTTCACTATGTAGGATTTGAGGTTTTCACAGAGGTGAGTATGAAGATTTCTGTCTTCTGGATTGTTGCGCTGTGTAGTCTGTGCGATTCATCGCCCTGATGACGGAGGCAGTATGACCTCTGAAACGTTGGTTAACATCGACCAGACTACACAGCGCAACAATCCAGAAGACAGAAATCTTCATATTATTTCACTGCTTGGATGTAGAACTAAAACTTAATGACATTTGCTAGTTCCACCTGTCTTGTGATATTTGGCTTTGTTGTTGGATGAACTGTGACAGATTCAGTGACACTTTTATGATTTTGTGTAAAGACCTTCACTTGGTTATTAGAACCATGATTAACTGCTTATTTAATGTTCTCATGATTATTGCTTCCTGAATCCACTGGACACACAATGTTTTAAAAACAGATAACACATGTTAGTAATTCTGATTTTCACTACAGCACATCACAGAAGCTGATTCTGTTCAAGGTAAGCTGTCAAAAAATTAATTAAAAATTATAAATCTGAAGATGCTTCTAGTAGTTACGAAACTCATAGGATGACCTCTGGTGCTAGCTGTCAATAAGGAATAAGATTTAAATAAAAATTATATGTTCTGGAAGCTGTAGCTATACTTCTACGTTTTAAATTTACTTCAAAGCCAGTAGTTTCCAATGTAATTATCTGAATAAACTGTGTTTGTGTTAGAGAGAACATTACCTGTTTAATATATAAGAATAAAACAAACCAATACAGTATATTATTAATACATTTGAATACAGAAAAGAAGTAATGTTATAACCTTATTAATTTTTATACACTCTCTTATTTTTAATGCACGAAGTCCCATCACAAACTTCTTGGTGCCAGCTGTGAAGAACTATTTTGGTTGCTCCTGCAGCCATGCCTGTATTGCTTTATTTCATCATTGCATGTGAATCAGTGGTCTTTGGTAGTATAATCAAATGGTGAAAGATTCTGATTTTAACTGATGAGTGTTTCATTTATTAATGACACTGTATTGTCATGAAGCATGAAAACACCCTCAAAGAGTCTGCATGTTTATTTAGTTTCAGTTTGTAATACAGCATGATGTAGCATCGCATCCACTAGGTCCAGCCCTTTATAATTCTAGAAAAATTCAGCATCAATTTGTTGGCAGAATCTTGAGTCTAAAACTCTTTTGTGAGTTTGGGTGCTTATACTCAAGGTTCTAGCATTTTTCTTACGTGTATAGTGATGCACTATTGATGAGAGAAAAGAATATACTTGTGCATGTAGAGTGTAGGTATACTGAGTTTTATCAAAGTTGGCCGGTGGTCTAGGCTGTGTTACTCGTTGATGAAGATGCTACATGCTCCCAGCATGTGAAGGTCATGTTCAGCTGCAGTCTCTTTCAGCTAGGATTTGGAGATATCAAAAATTAATTTTGTTGCCTTACCATATGGGCAGAGGCTAGGAAGGCAATAAGACCAAACTTATAAACATGATTATTATAGTATAAGCTGTACACATGAAGAAAGTCAGTAGATACCTTAAGATACCATTGTAATTCCCAAAGGGAAGGAAGGGGTAGAGTTGAGAAGAAATCCAAAGGAATGCCTGTATGAGTTGTGTTGTAGTAACGATTCGATTCTGTTTTACATTAACAGCATATGTTTGACAGTACTTTGATTATATTCTTACAGCAGTAATTTTCTAATCATTTCCAGTAATAATTAATTATGAAATAAATCTTCGAGAAAGTAATGATTGGCCATTCCTGAGGCTGTAAACTTATTTGTGACCATCTTACAGAGTTTTGTATAAAGATTAATAATTGTAATTTCATTAAAATAGATTGCTACTGGCTGAAATATACAGTGAATATTCTATTAAAACTAAATATGTGAGTCTACCCTAATCCAGAACAAGAAATGTGTGTAAGAAGTTTGAAATTCTCAAAATTTCTGTATTTCTTGTTGGTTCTAATAGGCATTTAGCAGTAACCTTTTCAATAGCATGCCCTAAAAAACTTTATGATTTACTTGCAGTGTATTCTGTAACCGCTACATTTAGTAGCAATAGCAGTGCCATAGGCTACACATTATTTTTCCACATTACAGAAGAATGTATCTGATGCGGCAAGTATTCAGTTTTATTTTACTGTGTTGAAGTTTAAATCCAGTTGATATCCAGAATCTGATTAAGATGCCATTAATACAGTTTGGAATTTGAAGTTCACTTCAAGTCTGGTTTAGTGGCTTAAATGTGTATGTCATTCATACAGTTTCTTGATACATAGATCTCATGAAGTTGATAATCACTCATCTGTCAAGAAATTTTCCACCTTTTATGAAACTAGTGTTTATCACATTTACAAAAACTTATCATTGGACCTATCCCAAGCCAGTTGAATCCAGTCCACGCACTCATACCATGTTTGTTTAAGATCTGTGTACATATTATCCTGTCATCTACATCTGTGTCTCCAAAGAAGTTTATTCTCTTCAGGTTTTCTCATGTTTTATATGCATTCTGCTTCTATCTGTTCATGCTAAATGTACTGTGCATCTCATTCTCCCTGATTTGATAATCCTAATAATAATGTTTGGTGAAGAGTACAAATTATATAGCTTTTTACTTTCTGATTCACTCCAATTTTCTTTTACTCCTGTCTCTTAGGTCCAGATATTTGCCCTTATGGTAAGAAACTGTATTTTATACCCATATAAGACAGTGTATAAAATTATTATACTTGCATATATTTTATATATTGCATATATTTATTAGGTTTTTACATTTTTATGTGCATAATTAACATTATGTTACAGAATTAAAATTAGTTATTTGTCTGTAGTTCTAATAATGGGTAATAAAGGCAAAATATTTAAACTATAATGGATAGTTGAAATGTACTGGTATGTTAGCTCATCATTCTTATTATACATGGCTAATGAAAGGAAAATTGTATTAATTATGAAATACATATGTAAGCTGAACATTCGTCTTTCAGGTGATTATACATGGAGGCACAATTCGAATGCGTACTGAGTCGATGGAACGGCTGCAAGAAAGGCAGAGCGGTTTGGGTGGAAGAGCCGTCGAAAACACTTACAGCTTTGTATGATGAGAAAGAGATGTGGAGAAATGACCTTCCAATAGAAATTTATTTATTAAATTATTACAAGTATCCAAAACAGTTGCAGAGTTCAAAGAAAATTACACTGCATATACTTTGTTATACTTTTGGGGTACAGCCTTCAACCAAAGTTCTTGATAATGGGTTAATGTGAAGCCAAATGTGAGAGGCTGCAGAGAATCAGACCTTGATTCATTTTAACGTAAATCTGAATAAAAATATGTGAACCCATTTATAGTGATCTACTTCAGCAATCGTACTTTCAAACACAGAATGCCATGAGACAAATATCAAAATTTGGTTCATTATGGATTTTCTTTGTTCTTTACCGGAATTACAAATATCCCACAAGGTGACAGCACTGTGACATTACAAATTTGACTTAATATGTAGCAGAATGTTTGGTACCACAGTTTTATTTCTATTGAAACTGGATTGTTGCCAATGACCATGTAGTTTGGAAAGCAAAGTATGTTGAGTGAATGGGTTCATTTTGTTCATATAAATATACATTTCATGTCAAGAGTGATTATAAAGTAATCCCAATTATTGCTTTACACACATGCTGCTAGATGCATTATATTAAGGGAACTGAATATTGAGTTAGCTTACAGCTATTTAGCAGATCTCAGACCTTGCCTTGGATTTTTTTTACAGCTATTCATAACTGATAGGAAAGTATTGTCTTTTCACTCTTCACAGCAATAACATACTCTTGTATTTGAGTTTGGTCATTTTCTGGTGCTTTGTCTGGACTTAACATACCCGCCCTAGGTCATATTGTAACATGTAAGAAGACAAGGGTTTTACTTTTAGAATGAAATTTTGGCATGTAGTTTTCTCCGCTGTTACTAGATGGTGCATGTACCCATTGTTTGTGATTCCTGGAACATATGTTAATTGTTTTGCTATTCATTTTTTAACATGACACCATGCAGATCGTTTGAGTATGCAGGTCTGTAAATTATACATGAATTACCGCATGTTTTGATGCATTACACAGTGATTTTTGTTAAAATTTGTAATGTATATACACTATTTCCTTTTGTGGGCAATGGTTGGTTCCATGCCATTAGTATATTTTAGTTGTTCATTGTTTTTTGATTTGTTATGTGTGTCTGTACTATGTTAAGTTGATTGTTCCATGTCACACAACTCCAAAAGCATCCAGAACAGCTGAAATATATCATTGGCACAGAACCAGCTATTGTCCACGAAAGGAAATATTGTATAGATTTTATAGATTTAAATAAGAAAAAGATTGTAATGCATCAAAACGTGTAATAACTTAACATGTAATTTACAGAGCTTGTGGTGACTCATTGTAATTAAAAACATATATTCTAGCAGAAAATTGACATTTCACAATAGTGTAAAAAATGTTTTAACATGGGGGGTGTTTATAAAGCAATGGTTTATTCAACATGAAAACATAAAGAAGTATAATATCTGTTCCTTTTGGCACATAAACCTTGATTATTTCACACAAAATGTGGCCTGTGGTGATGGGATGTGTTTATGATATAGCGTGATGGGCCTGTAGGGATAGACTAAGAATGCAATGGGTTAACAGTAATGTGAAGAGTATTGTTTTCTATAGCAAGGATAAATTATGTTCCATCTCAGCATCTTATCCCTAGAGAACCACAGGTTCTTGTACAAGAATTGTTTAATATTTTATGATCACTCTAGTCATAAATTGTTTATTTTCAGTTTTCTCTTTATTTCACTGCAACCTGATATGTCACAGTGTGATTCAAGTTTTTGAGTGTAAAGTTGAATTTTTATTAGCATTGTGAACATGTTAAATATGTAGAACATACATCACAGCAGTCTCTATATGCATTATTTGGGAAATAATAAATGATACAAACAAGCAAAAGAAGTTTTGTCACAACTTTTACTTCAGGGTGTAGGAAATCTTCCTGTTATGGTTTCAGACATGACACTTATGACTCAGATTTTATATTTTTACAGAATATGTACAATATATATTTTATCCAATTTTGTTGATTCATATTGAGACTGTTGGAATTTGCATGATAGGATAAGAAAACAAGATAACATAACACACACACTCTCATATTTGGTCTGTTGGCTTTCGTACTTTGTTATAAGTTTTGGCTTCAGCAGTGCTTGTGTCTTTTTCCCCCTCCCCCTTGCTTAAACCCTGCCAGTATTTTTTGTTATAGGAGTCGCTGGTTTGCTGAATGCCAACTCATTTACTGCCAGCCAGTGGATGGCACTGAATAGTGTAATGAAACAGTATTATTAATGTCATCATGCCTCGTCTAAGCACCATGTTTGTTTCATCCTCATTGTTTATATATGAAATTTCCTTGCTTTATTGATATATTTATTACTACAATCTATATTCTCCAAGATACCTATAAAACATATTTTTCCACATTCTCTTCATGATTTTCAGTATCTTCGCTATCTCTTGCACTTGTGTTTCGGAAGTGAAGCTCTCTTGTTTATACTCTGCCATTGAGTTTATGCATTTTTTAATGTATGGTGAAAAATAATGTATAGATAATGCCCAGTGAAATAATAGAGGACAGGGCATTCAATAGAAGAAGAGAAAAGCTGTATTGAAATTGTAATTAGCACAACAGACATTTTTATTACAGCCAGTAAAGATAGTCTTTACTGCTTGAAGTAAAGTAATCAGTGCAAACAGTGTACATATCAGTTAAAAGCATAGTCTTTGAAAGACATCAGTTTAGAAATAAAGCAAGATGGGAAAAGTCAGAGCATTTACATGATAGAAGGATCTACAAATAGTAACATCTTTAGGCAGCCGCTTCCTAATGATGGAGGCAGAGAAGGTTTCCAAAACATTCGACTTCTGTTCTGAATTTACACAATTAGTAACCTGAGAAGATTTTATTGCATTCAGTCATTGTGAAAGTGTCAAGTCTTATCTAATTACAGACATTACAAATTTAAAATGTGTGTCAACATGACTTCTGTGTCAGAAGTTAAAATAAGTGCTCAGACTTCTCCTCTCCCATAATTCTATACATTACATATCAGATTAGCTGTTACTACTGGATAGAAAGAAACGGCTTTTGTAATATCCAGCATATAACAGAGATGCTCTTTCCCACAACCTCATGGGGCCTGTTATGAGAATAAGGTATGTGTTTGAGCTCAGTGGCCCAAGTGCATGTATCCATTGTATAACATTGCTCAAATGTTACAAAGAAAAATGTCACTTCTTAAATTGTCTCATGTGCCAAATCATCTGTTTCAAAGCCTAAGTTAGAAGTGACTATACTTTCTGTAGTAAGGTGTAGTGAGGTAGTCGAGAAACTCTTACAATTGCCATACATTTCAGAGAGGACCACTGATAGGAAATATTTAATGTAATCTGCTTTTTATAACTAATCAGGAAGACAAGCCTGCCTGCTCATGGCCAGTGGTTCCCAAACTATGTTCCCTGCCCTGGACTGAGATGTTCTGCTACCAAAATTAAGTAATGGCAATTTGTTCTCAATCTGCAATTTTTCTCTTGAGATGTTCATGTCATATTTTCTTCTAGTAATATTCCTAATCAGAATAATGACTTCAAAAATCACATTTTTATGGTGTTCTGTGGAGAACACCATGATACCTGTATACTCTGTGAACTAGTTTTAGAACCATTACTGCGGGCAGTCACACTTAGCTTGACAGGTCACTTGTTGGTGGCCAGAGGTGTTAGTTCCTTTTCATCAAAGTTCCTCCTTATAAAGCAACAGAGCATTATCTGTTCTTGCCACCTCAAAGAAGATAGTGCCACAAGCACACCTGATTAGCAGTAAAAACATTTTGAATATGTAATTTTCAAAGCAGTGACAAAGATTTCTTCCTGTGGGTTTTGGTCCATTTTCCATTATTTCGCATTCTCTAAATTCTCTTCTTATTTACAGCTTCATCTGTGGGTTACAGCTTAAGTTGAGGATTGGGTTTCTATCTTAGTGGGGATTTTCAAAGTCCATGTAGGAGGAATCCTTGGATGGAGACCATCTCAAAAGTCCATACCATCATAAAATAATTCTTAAAAACATGATCATGCACACCCTGAGCATGATTAAGATTTTAAATCCCAGTGCTAGAGCAGCCTATGACTATTATTAGTATTTTTGGTATGACATAATTAAATAAACACTGGTGTTTGAAATATTTTAATTGTGAAATTTGCCCTCTGGTAGCTTAGATTTATGTGTGCACCAAAAATATGTGCTGCTTACTGAAAGATATGCAGTAGGCATGAAATATTCTTCTCCAGTGTTTCTTAGGGTGGGTGACTGTTTATTATGTAAAACACTGCATTCTATAATGTACAGGACGTGTGTGTAGTTTTATATACTATTGAAGTGTGTTTTCCAGTATGAATCATGTGTGAAATGTGGATCTCCTGGAAAGAGTCAGAGAACATTTTAATGGTAAGTTTCCTGGGATCACAGTTTCAAGCACATCTGGCATCCATAAACTTATTAGGAAAGTCAGGTGTATTGGGTAACTTCTGGACAAGAAACCTGCTAAAAATGCAGTGTGCTTAACTAAGAAAAACTAGATGGAATAAGATCTAGAGCAGAACACACAACAGAATCATTGAGACATCTTCTACAGGAGACCAACATCTTGGAATCATCAGCAGCCAAAGTGGTGAAGCAGTGAATTTCAGCCTATTTAAATGTTACAGAGAGTGTGTGCATGTACAGGGACATCATTGTCATCATCTCTCATAATATAGGTAAGTTTATTCATTGTCTGTATGGAGCGATACTTGACTCATCAGGAAAATCTTGTGGTGCTTGGTGGTGAGTCACGCAGTTCCTGCCAGGAAGACAGTGCATGTGACTGTTAGCGAATGCACTGTAGATACTATATAACCAGAATTTGATTTTTCATTTAATTTTTGCATTATATTTTGTAAGTATAACTCATTATCTTATACATGTTTTACATTCCTCAGATATGTCTTTTCACAGTTTGTACAGGAAGATAGATTTGGTGTATTCATTAAAAGGATAAGAATTATGAAGCATGTGTTTATCTACAAAGTCTAATTTTTATTTTAATTGTATATTTACATGTTTTCACATAACATGTAGACTCAACTCATTTGTTCATACCAACATTTATTATTGCAGTGTGGAAGTACAATATGTTTTTTTCAAAACAGTAATACACCACTGAATTTAAGTATGCATATATTCAAGGTCTGACATTTAAATAATTAAATTTATTGTAGAGAAATATTTATTATTGTCATTGGCCTTTAGTGAATGTTGTCACCTTCAAATAATTCTATTCTTACATATATACATTCCAGTGCCTGGAATCATTGCTGGAAATCATTTTTCAAATGTATTTTCTGTACTGTTGTGACATTGCTTGGAAAGTATTCTAAGCTTTAAAATGAGACCCTTTCGAGGACACTGTTTAATTGAATGGTAGATTAGGTTTGTGGTAGTTGTGTCTATTCCTTGTTCTGTTTTTGTCGATTACAGTTTGGAAAACATGAAAAAGCCTTATGGGGCCAGATCAATCAAGTATAGTGGATGTTCAAACATTGTTATTGTCTTCAGGTCAAATATCACCTTACCAAAAGTGCTGTGTGGAGGGTTTACTGTCATGATAAAAAATCCACTTGTCCAACTATTTGTCATGATGACTGGATTTTCTCTTGAAACTTCAGCTTTATGTTTCTAGGTCATACCATAAGACCAAAGTGTAATCACCAGTATCTGTTTTATAAAAAAAATTTGGTGTGTTCCAGAGTGAGCAGAAATGTTTTTCTAGTTATTTTATGCTTGCTGCTGAAATATGTCAATGTCATCTTCACACAGACTTCTCATCATTTTCAGATTTTTGGTCAGTATTAATCTCATAGTTACTCTATTTGTGTCAGTTCTTCTATTTCCAAACAATCACCTAATGATTATTGCTTATCATTTCAGTTACTTTTTTTTAATTAGTTCCCTTCATAATATTTGTATCTTCTTTCCTTTCGTCTTGAAATCCTTTAAAATACACAAAAGCCTGTGTTCTCTGTTTCCTCTCCATGTAACATTTTGTGTCACTGGTATTTTTAATCAGGTTTGCTAAAATTGTAATGTTGGCATATCAATTTTTGCTTCAGAAATATTACATGGGGCGATGGGTATTATTAAAAGTAAAAAATGGAAATAGTTTGGATTATGAACTTTACAAGACAAAAGAAATATTTGTTCATTCAGAGTGCACAGGTAATTTAATTAATGTACTGTATTTATTATGTTGACAGTGAAACCCCTTTCTTTCCCATGCTACAGTTTTTACCAAGCCTGACAAAAATTTTGGTTGCAGATTTGCAGAGCATATTTTTGAAAATCATAAATCAAATTGTAAAGGTAGAGAATAATGAAAGAAAGAAGCCATTTTGTGGACAAATGACTTGTTTAAAATGTAAAATGCATGAAGTTATGCTGCCACCATTAAATTTTGAAATACATACAAGTAAATTGAATCTTAAATTAGTTTTGCAGCATATCTTAACCATAAATTACAATTGCCATTATTCTTACAATAGAATGCAATGTTAAAACAATTAACCATAACAATGAATAATAATTTATGAAGTATCCTTGTCATGCCTTCAGATGTATCATGTCATGCCAGCATATATTTGTTAAACATGATATACTGGCTTTATTGATCTAACTGAAACTTCATCTTGTTTGTGCTTCTCATAAATATTAATTCCTTAATAGTGTTATTGCAGTGAATTTATATACAAATATAAGCATTGAGGAACCGACAAACATGGTGCATGTTTGATGTTTGAAAATAACACATGTTGTTGTGTGTTTTGCCCTTGTAAAGAGCCAAGAAAAAGCAAACCACTGACATGTAATAATAACCCATGACTCATAATGCAAGTAAAGACCAAAGATTATACTTTATTGTGTTTGTATAAATAATAAAAGTAATATGAAATGTACTACAGGTTTATTCTGTTTCATATTATTTTAGATTTTCTAAACCTTGTATGTGAAAGCACTGTACTCTGGGATGTAAACTTTGGGTGGTTGGTCCAGAAGATTTCAGTTTAGTTGCATTTTTTTGTTCCATTAAAAGAAAAAGAAGACTTATTGTAAATATATTAGTTGTATTAATACTATTATTATTCTAGTCGTTTATATTGTGTACATATATCTTCTCAGAATACAATACATGATCATTGTAGTATGTCTTTTCTTGTTTGCATATACAAATATCTCTTGTCAACACCCAGATATCAGAGAACAAATTTACAGTGTGGTCCCCTGTACATGAGCTTCTTTATCATATTAGTTGTCTACTGCAGAACTTATCATTAAATTTGCTTCTTTATGCTTAGTAGATGATGCTAACAAAAGTATAAAGTAAATTAATTTGATGTAGCATAACCTAATCTTTTTTGATATTCATATTTCTGTTGATGTGTGCAAGCAGAAGAAATATAATTGCATATTTGTAAGTAGTGTAAATACAATATGTCAAAATACTGTGTAAGCAAAAGAGGACTATGTAATAGTCTACTTATTGTAAAGCTACATAGAACAGCTCTTAACTCTACAGTATTAAGATTGACAGCAATTCATTGTCCAAGTGAAATTACAAGGAAATGGAAAACAGCAGAGATGCTGGTATTGTGGCCACTTATCTCTTCCATATAGAACCCCAAAGGATCTTTTAGAAGCTTGGAAACATTACACTCGCGCATTATCTAGACCAGCCACTTCCCTGCTGTTTCTTTTCAGAACTATGGGGTTTCAGGAGTTGAATAGACAAATTTATGGTAACAGTGAATATCAAACTAAAGAATGTCTTCAGGTTACAAATCTCAAAAGTAATTCTGTTCCTAAGTAATATTTTAAGCTACAGTTTGTAAAGCAAGAATTGTTAATGTCTTTTGTATTATTATTAATGACTTTCAGAAAAAAAAGCTAAGCTTGGACTTAACTGTTTCCACTTGTATTATTTAGTTAACGGTTAGCATTTTATTATTTCTTTCCTCGGTTACGGTGAAGCCAAAATTGTGAAAGACTATATTCTGAGAACGTGATACTTATTTTGTATATGGTAAGACTAGGAAGAAATAAGTTGATAATTATACAATTTAGTTTTCCATATCTGTGCATAATCCTCACTAGTACAGATCCCAACTAGAATATATTTTTCATATCAAATCTCAAAATTTTGCATATAAACCAGAATAAGAAATTTGTGTAGATTTATTATGTCTTCGTATTAAACTACATCCCATAAAAGTTACCCAACAGAGTTGCATATTTTATCAAATATCGATGAGTATTACTACATTACATTTGATAGGGCATTGAATTGTCACAGTAAAATTAAACTGGTTTCAAGTATTAGGCCGCCATTGAAAGATTATCTCACTCCTGCTCTAGAAGAATATACAATTGAAAATTAATAAATATTGTAAATAGTTATGTAAATATGACTTTTTTTATTAGTTTTATGTTGCCTTCCACATCCTCAGGTTATACTGCAAAGGATATATGGAATGTAAATCAATTTTATTCTATTTAGCACATATTTATGTTGATCCATTAAACGGACTCCCATCCAGGCCATTACAAGTTCAAACGGTGGGATACGTCAATCACAGATAACAGGTTAATTTTACGATAGTCTCGACAAGACAATATTTCTGCCTGAAAATCAGTGCTTGATGCTTGATGTCTCTGATCTTAAAGATCTAAATATCGACTTAATCATTCTGTAGTGACATCTTAAGTTATTCTCTGAAAACTGCCAAAATTGAGAAATTGATCTGTTTGTTTTGTATCTACAGTAACTATTAATCAACGTCGAGTTTTGCTAGAGGTGAGGTCTGGTATCATTTTTGTCATAATCTAAGGAATTGACACAAAATTTATGACAAAAGAATAGCACTAATGCCGGCTGAGATTTCGATTCACGCCAAGGAGAAATACATTCCAGTATGTATCAGGACAGCATAATTCCTGAAAAATCCAGATGATCGGGACTAAAAAGTGCTCTTGCGCATGCCTAGAAGACGCCATTTTGAAGGTGAAACTTTGATAGTAAAGTGGCAGAAACAGTGACGATTTTCAGCTGTATTTTCATTTACAAGTATTGTGTAAATATTTCTGAAAGTTAGCTTCGAATGTTCGAATCGTGTGTTACGAAGGTGATGTAGATTTCCAGATCTGTTGTTTTTCTCATCGGGGTATTGTAATAAAGGTTCACAGTTATGTTCTCTTCATCCTTTTCTTTATAGAGGATTTAATTATTTTGGCCCAAATGTGTATTTTGAGGGCCGTATTGCAGAAAATAGTATATCGTCCTTTCTCGACTGTTAACGTAGTTGTTTCAGTCGTCAGTAAGAAATTCCATTAGATCTGCGTGCATTTTATACCCGACAGAATCACACTCGGTATGTCATTGTTATATTGGATTTATCAAAATAAGAGCCCGCATTGACATTATTGCAGGTCGTACACTATATGAGTGGATCATGGCTTCATGTAATCTGGTGTGAGAGTATATGCACGTTGAAACAGTTCTTAATATCAGTGAGTGCTTCAAGCAACTCCCACATTTGGGAAGCAGCAGGTGCAGAACTTCTGGGTGTTTTAATATAACTGGAATATTATGCCAGCTGTACCCAGGTGGGTTGACTATCTAAGAAACAAGGTAATATATAAATACTTTTGTTATGAAGAATGTAAAATTTGGGTATTAAACTCAATATTGAGGAAAGAGCTGTTAAGTATGTGACATGGGTGTTTGTAGTAGTGTTGCTCTATATGACATTCAAAGACATGGGCTCTAACTTCCAACCTTCTTGCTCATGGTAATCTTTTTATGAGTGTTTGTTGGTGACAGGATATGTAGCATTCATTATGAATCACTTGTTGAAGGTATGTGAGTTAATGGTTATTGACTTGTGAACAAAATATGGTGTGATTTTTATGTTTATGCAATTGGAAAAAAAAGTTGAAATAATATTTCTACAAATTTGTTTTGCTAATCATGATATATTTTTATTTTTATTATGCTGCCATAAATTATAGTTAGTCTGCCATTTGAATTGTTCACTTATGGTTGGCTGTTATGGAAGTGATGTGTCTTTGTGGTTTTTATTAATCAGGATGTTATCATTCTGTTATAATTTATGAAAGGATAATTTATGTATACATTACAAAAAATTAAGAATTGTTGTCCTTCATATTACAGTACATTTCCTTATTCCATTCAATGCATCTTTTCATTTTTGACTACTGACCAGTGACAGCCTACCTCCAGTGTGGTGGTCTGCAGAATTAGCCACTGTAGTCACTGGGCCTGCTCCTACTTGATTTCGATGTATGCAGGTAACATGAAAAATACAGTGTATAATGCAAGGCAAACAAGAGAGGAAATGCATCATTGAATGTTTTAGTGCTGCAAGACACAGAAATGACCCTGATGTTCAATGTAAGGTCAAATTATTTTGAATTTTTGTGACTGTTGTGATTTGGCTCTGCGTTCATGACATTTCTGACTGGGATGATCTTAGGAATAAGATCCTAAAGTAATGAATTAAAATTACTGGTTATTCTGTATAGTAATTGTACCCTTTCTGAATCATGGATTTTGTATTTCAGCTTTATACAGGCACAAATAGCCTTTGTTACTGACACACCACTAAACACTCTCTCTCTATCTCTCTCTCTAGCATGGCAGCTCATTATCATTTTAGGAGGTTTGAATCTTTACTGGAAGGCTTTTTGTCTGTTTGCCCCTTGAGGGGAATCAGACCTTACTCAGCCAGCCCATAGCATATACTAAGTTGTCCCAGCTTGCATCGTTGATATTTATTTTACAGAAATTCATGCTGCCCTCTTTGTTAACAGGCCTGGTAGCTTGAAGGACCCAGAAATAGCTGAGCTTTTTGACAAAGATGATCCTGAGAAGAGATTTGAAGATTTGCGTGAGATTGGGCATGGAAGTTTTGGAGCAGTGTACTATGCACGTTGTTTGGTCACTAAGGAGATTGTTGCCATCAAAAAGATGTCCTACCTTGGCAAGCAGAGTTTGGAGAAGTGGCAGGATATCCTGAAAGAAATTCGCTTCCTGCGACAACTGAACCACCCCAACACTATTGAATATAAGGGCTGCTTCCTCCGAGATCATACAGCATGGGTAAGTCAGATTTAATGAACCTGTTAATGAAAAAATATACTTTCTTATTTACACATATTTTTGTTTGGTTGAATATGCTTGCACTGCATTTAAAAAATGTCTTATCTGCTTAAATGGACAAGCCTGGCAACTGTATAAGTGACTGCCCCATGTGGTATTGAAAATAGTTGAACTTCTTTGTTTTTCAGTCAGGGAACTGAAAAATAGGTTGAGCTAATAATATGTATTTTTTGAGTAAATTTATTCTCTCTTTCTTTGTATTGTGTTATCTGACAAAGAATGTTGTACTGATTAGCCCTTTAGATATGAGAGAAACAAAAACAGATATGACATTTTTGCATGTGGGAGGCTTGTAGCAGTGCTCTTCAGTATTTGGTGGGATGGGAAGATGATTCATGTATAAAAGATTATGTTAATTTAGACATTCTTTTCAAGAAAGAAAAGAAGGCACTTTCAGTTATCCTTTTTCTCATATCTTTCAATTTCTCAGGTCTTAATGAAATTCTGTGTGGGAGACATTTGCCAAAACTTGAACAGTTTGAATTTGAATGCCCTCAATTAATATTAACAGTACTTTATTGCAATATCAGTTTTAACTGTTTTGTTTGTCTCATGAAATGTACACCAAATTAAAAAGTGTCCCAAACAAATGTAACAGATTTCATTGGGATAAACCTTTCTTTTTATGTGAATGAGGGAATGCAGTATTGAAGCTAGCTATGAAAATAAGTTAGTGAATTCAGGTGTTTATACTCAGTGCAAAAGATAATGCTGCCCTGAATAATTATGGAAGTAATGTATGATCATAACCAGACACATTATAGTGAAATATTTAGTCTAAAATAAAATGTTTTAAGTAACCAGTTTTGTAGATTACAGTTTTGGCCAGGTCGAATGGAATTTCCTGTTTTTAAACAGATTTAATTGTATTGTTTGCTAATGGGTTCAACACTTCAGGAAAACATTGACAGTCCAATAGGGTTCAGTAAGGTCACTTCATCCAATATACCATCAACTCCTTGCATATGACATTGATTTTAAAATAAGTTTTGTGACTGTTTCAATGCAAAAGATTTCCATATAGAAGGGATGTATATAAATACACTTATTTTAGGGCTTATTAAAACAGATCTCAGAGAAATAAGTGTGAAGATGTAAATGGGGCTGAAATGATTTAGGGTGGAGTACAATAACATGCTTCTGTAGTAATGATGAAGCTTTGGGTTCCATAACAACACTGAATAACTATCAGCTGCCATAAAGTTAGCTATTTGTGTTATGTTTCCTACAGCTTGTGATGGAATATTGTCTTGGATCTGCATCTGACATTATTGAGGTCCACAAGAGGCCATTGAAGGAAGAGGAGATAGCAGCCATTTGTGATGGTGTACTGCGCGGCTTGAGTTACCTGCATGCTCTGGGACGGATACATCGTGATGTAAAGGCAGGCAATATATTGCTTACAGAAAATGGCACTGTCAAACTGGGTAAGTCACAACTGCTCTTGTATTAATAATTATAAAATGTGTTGTAAGGTTAATGTAATAACTTTGAACATTTATTTTATATGAATTTACAGACATGTTACACATGCTGAGCACTCTCTGTTCTTTGTTGCTCAGTACAACTTATTTGTTTCTGATTCTGTGAAGAGCAGTTTGGTAGATAATCTTGTTTGAAAAGAGTTGTTCACTTTCCTGTTGTACAATGTTATTGCCATGTGTAATCTGGAAGCAAGATTTAATTATTCTGAATTGTTCTTAATGCATATGACGTTAAGATTTCTGTCTTCTGGGTTGTTGCGCTGTGTAGTATGGTAGATGTTAACCAACGTTTCAGAGGTCATACTGCCTCCGTCATCAGGGCGATGACATTCATCTACCAGACTACACAGTGCAACAACCCAGAAGACAGAAATCTTCATACTCACCACTGTGAAAACCTCAAATCTTACATATGAAGTTACTTTTACATCATCCTCATTGATACATTTTTTATTGATTGAGCCCTGTTCTTGTACTCTGTAATCACTTAATTTTTGCACACGTATCTGTGCAGTGTTGATGGTGGTCTTCTGAAGGAATGTTGTTATTACCTACAAGACCACATGGTGTACAACCCAGAAAGCAACAATGAATTCCATGAAATCCGCAGATCTGAGAAAGTATCTTACGTGGTTTTCTAATGCAGATTAAAAGATTTTTGTGATTTGATTTGCATTAACAAGTTTTGGAGAAGTTACAAGCAGTATGAATTGTAGGAAATAAAAGTCTCCCCCACCCCCTTGTAACATGGGTGCACTGATACCTCTACAAATACACTGTTGTAAGACAAATGAATAATCAAGTCTGATAGGTGTAGAAGTATTCCATGTTTTTATAGTTGATACAGATTTTGGTATGTATTCAATATTACAGCTGATTTTGGTTCAGCAAGCATCAAATGTCCGGCAAATAGCTTTGTAGGAACCCCATACTGGATGGCACCCGAAGTAATTCTGGCCATGGATGAGGGACAGTATGACGGAAAGGTGGATGTGTGGTCTTTGGGAATCACGTGTATAGAGTTGGGTGAGTTTTATGTTGGAATTTTGTAAAATATTCAAGATGGTAATTGATTTTTAACACACACATTATGAAAGAAATTAATAAAATTGAAAATGATATCAATAATTCCTTTTAAAAGAAGATAATATCTAATCAAGGTATACCACATGCATGTACTAGAATATATTTAAAGTATATTTATATTGTCACTAGCATGGTTGGTCGAGATACAGAATCTTAACAGAAAATTTATGCTGCAATTTTCAGTTATATTGAAGTATGGTAGGAGAACTAAGAACAGTTGAAATCAAAAGTTTGTATGGGGAAGGGCATACTTTAAGCAAGAAGACATAATGATATCATTACATGATACCACTGTCAGGCTGTTGTAAACACCATAATATGCCTTTGGGTTCAGTAAAAGGTGGGTAATGTTTTTGACTAGTTGAGTGTACTTTTAGCTTCTCAAGAAGGTCTCTGCTCCATGGAGTTGGTGAAGTCGTCAAAAGATTTTGGGTGATATGCCATGAATTACGTACCTTTCTGGCTGAATCATACTTTATTACACCATTATGGAAGAATGAATGAAGATACTATTAAATTTTAGAGCTATGTCCCTCTCTTTCAGTCGTCTGAAAGTTTTTCATTTACATAATTAATTTGTGTTCCTTGCAGCTGAACGTAAGCCACCATATTTCAACATGAATGCAATGAGTGCCCTGTACCACATAGCTCAGAATGACACACCTTCATTGAGTTCTCCAGAATGGACTGATGTGTTTAGGCATTTTGTTGAATCTTGTCTTCAGAAGAACCCCAATGAGAGACCAACATCAGGAAAACTCCTGTCAGTAAGTTTCTCTGTTACCGTATTTACTTATATGCAAGTTATATTTCTGTTTTAAGATAGAAAATTTGTTACTTCATTATTCTCTGCTGATGATTGTAGTATGTATTGCTGTGTTATTATACTTGCACATGTCCATGTCTAAGTATGTCCAACAACTGCCACGGTGGTCTAGCGGTTAGAACGCTGGGCTTGTAATACTGGGGTCCTGGGTTCGATTCCCGGCGGTGCTCAGATTTACAACTTGTGTTGGGCAAGGCCGTGGTCTAGGCATCATGGAGTTTTCCTCTGGGGTTTCCCCGGTTTCTCCGTGGCTTCCCAACAATTACTCCACTTTCATCATCATCTCCCGAAAAGGGGGTCACAGCAGGAGCGTTAAATGTCACGGTCCCGATCGAACCCATGTGCTGATGGGTCGTGAATCCTGCTAACCACCAATGCACACCATGCTGAATGGTGTGTACTGGACACAGAAAAAGAACTATGTCCAACCGATACTGTCACATAATTTACACACTCCGATTCCAGCATGTTTGTTTCTTGGTGATGTTTTATTTTGAAAAGTACTATAACTTCAACTGTGACCAGGTCTAACATTTTAAGTAAGTGTTAATGGTTCAAATTTCATAGTTTCTGTAATTGTTTGAAAGGTATAATTAGTTAACAATGTGAAGAAACCTATCTTTTCTAATATTGCATGTTCCATTTGAATAAGAAATTCATGAAACATTTGATAAAGTGGAGAAGTTGCTTTGGTTGGTCTTGTTCACTCCTCGGATAGGGACATAAATAATGTTGAGAAACTTATAATACTACTTTTCTGCTGATACTTAAATTGCTCATTCATGAAGGAATCACAATATCTCAGATAGAATTGTGTCCTATTGTGAGAAATAAATTGGGTTGTGTGATAGTTAAGTATATGTGGTAAATATAAACAGTTAAAGGTAAATATATTATTTTACAAGTATGGTGTAGTATTAATTTTGACGTGCATGTTTGCGCAGCATCAGATGGTGACTCGTACCCGCTCACCACATGTTCTGATCGACCTGATCCAACGTACAAAGGCAGCGGTGCGAGAATTAGACAACTTGAATTATCGCAAGATGAAGAAAATTCTTATGATTGAAGCATTTGAAAATGAGAGTACTATGGGTGATGCAGATGGTAAGTACTGTTGCTAATGTACTAAGCCTTATCAGATTGATAGAGTTGCTTAATTGTAGGTGCTCTGGGTATTTGTACATTTTTTGTGATAATTTCTTCTTCTTCTTCTATGGCTCTCTGGTCCATATTCGGTCCATGGCCTCCTCAATTCTCCTCTTCCATTTGGTCCTATGTTAGGTCCATTCTGTCCGGGGCTTTGATTGAGGTTTCGAAACATCTTCCTTTTTATGGTGCAAGGTTGTTAGCCTTGCGACCAACCCCCAACCTGGAGGACCAGGGTACCTGTCTTAGTCTGACCTCTCCCCCCTCGACCAATCTGGCTAGGGAGACCCTACCAGTAGCTCTTGGGGCCACTGATGTACTCAAGCCCCACCACCACGACAAGGTGCAAGTACCATTAAGTGGGGGTGATAATTTATTATTAGGGTAATTCCATGTTTGTGGTTTATTACTTGTGAAAGCCTTTTTGTTTTCATGTCTTCTTACAATTTTTTCTGTTATTCATCTTGCCCTTAGTTGTGAAGTTCATAGGTCAGTCACTGTAAAGTAAATGTGAAGTGTATGGTTTTCCTGTTAGTGAAAGTTCACATTCACAGCAAGTTATTACTTTTTTCTGTTTAAAATATTCCATGCTGGTCATATGCAGTAAAATGTTGATACAGCAAGCTCCATTCGACTTCAGAAATATATTCATTATGCCCTGGCTAGGGAGACCCTACCAGTAGCTCAGAAATATATTCATTATGCTTCATAATGCCATTACCAATCATACTAATGGTAATAAAGACTTCATCATATAGAACCAGTGTCAATAAAATCTATCCCATGTCTATCACTTCAGTAATTTTGAATTACTCCTGGTGGTTGAAGTGAAATCTATTCTTATGTGGTATGAAATAAATAACAGTGTCTCTTGCTTTTATTTCTCTTTTTAAGTCTTGGAACTTTGTTGTGTTACAGACACCCCAGATGAGCAGACTGGAGGTGACAGCAGTAAAAGCAACAGTATCACCTCTGAGCATTCTTTACATTCAGTGGGTGTAAGTGCTTCGTCGCAGAGTAGCTCTACTAATAGTCTTCCACCCTCTGCTGATGGCAATGACAGCAGTTATCCTCCTTCCATGCGAAATAGACATAAGGTGAGTTTTGTTAAATCACTTACCTTTGCTCGAACTCTAAAGTCAAGCACGTGTATAAAATAGGTAAGAAAGGCATAAAATAAATAAACAGCCGATGTGTGAAATAATCTTCTAACCTAAATATTTAACAAAGACGTGTACTTACAACACAAAGTATGATCAAAATTAAGTAAGAATGCAGCAAAATTAACATTCTTTTTTATGAAAAAGTTTTAAATGTCTTACATCTGCATGGTTACAAAAAGGACACAGCAAATTTTCCATTTCTTATAAACATTCTATATAGTTTCCGCTGTACATATTTTAATACAAGAATGTGTTGTTTCTGGATCCTCATTTATATGCACATAACAACCGCAACATTAACAACATAGTTGCCTACAATATATATGTTATGTTTTATCTAGCAGGCCAGTAACTCAAATGCCATCCAGGATCACGGAGCCAATAACTTTGCAACCATCCGTACAACATCAATTGTGACAAAGCAACAGAAAGAACACATGCAGGAGGAAATGCACGAGCAGATGACGGGCTACAAGCGGATGAGGCGTGAGCATCAGGCTGCCCTGCTCAAGGTATGTCGATTGAATTAAACTTAACAGTCCCATACACATTTTATAACTGTGTTGTCATAAAATAACTAAAATTGTTTGATGTAATGATGCAACTTGGATTATAAAATTGTTAATTCAGTAGCTAAGGATGCATTTAAGTTTGTAATGATATTGAGTGAATGTTGTTTATGTAGGAAACACTGCCACGTACACTTTGTTTAGTTTTCTTTTGTTTAAATTTAACCGAAATTTATTTTGTGTATTTTTATTATATGTGGACAGTTGGCAACCCTCCACTTAAAAATTTCTCCTGTGATCAATGGATTTGAGCCCCAAATTGACATCATTTAATATAAAAATGGCCAAGGACAATAAAAGTTGGTCACCAAAGCAGTTACATTTTAAAATTGAGATTCTACAATGTAGAAATCAACATTTTCTGATGAATGTATAATAATGGTTTATAGCTGATATTTGTATGACATCCATCTAGACACCTTGGTACAAAAGCTAGTAAGTCAAAAGAAATTTATGTATAAATAATAGTTGTAGTATATAAGTTGCAAACAGGTTCGTTTTATGTGCAGCTGGAGGAACGGTGCAAGATAGAAATGGAGAACCATAAGCAACTGCTGGATAAAGAATATGAGTCGCTGCTTCAACAGTTCAGCAAAGAGCTGGAGAAGTTACAGATAAGACATCAGCAGGACCTTGAAAAGAAGGTTTGTTCTCCGTAACTTATAGATTTTCCTCATAAATTTTGTCAACTAAATATAAGAATAATTTAATTATGCTGTATCTGTAGTCAAATTAATTTTGTATAGATACTGTTGGGACAAGTTTCTTTGGTAAATGTAAGTTTTTTTTATCTTAGTTGAAGCAGAATCTGACTGCCGAGAAGAAACTGCAGAAGGAAATCTGTGGGCGACAGGAACAAGATCGGAAAGCATTTGAAACACAAAAGAAGAAGGAGTACAAAGCAAATAAGGAAAGGTGGAAGCGGGAACTCAGCCTAGATGAATCGACTCCTAAGAGGCAGCGGGATGCCACATTACAGTAAGTCTTAACAGCATAAAATAAATAAACTGGTAATGTAAATATTATAAAACCATGAAGCTTCTATCTGTAAGTCAGTTTGGTGAAACTTCCAACAGCAGTATTTTCAGCAATGAAGTATTTTAATTTTATTCTATGTTTTCTTTCCAAAGAAATTTCTAAAACTCTTAATGATGGAGACATGCCAAATTTGCATTGACATTTTGATATAGATATTTTGTATATTCAGCACTTTTGCTGAGATTTACATGAATTTTGAAATTTTCAGTTTTACTGTGTACTATGTGAATGTGTTTTGTGATTTTGCCGCTATTCTGTTAGCGTTCATTCTTCCAGATTTTCATTTTCATTCACCGTTTTTATGTTTATTTGTTGAGAGATGCCTTTGTCAGTGTTACAAAGGATACAGTATATAAAAGGAAAGTAACTATGCTTGAATTTCATCAAAATATTTGATCAGTAGTGAAAAGTGGTGTTAGGGATGATACACAGAGTGAACATTCATTGTCTTCAAATTTTTTGTTATGCAGTCCCACACAAAAAATGTTGCTCTTCCTTGAAGACATCAGTCTTTATTTTATGCTGCAGCACGTATTCAAACTGGTGACCTTGGTCTACACATGCCAGCAGATGTCATCACCTCTTTTCTCACCGTATTCTTTATTTTATATCTTCATTTCTGATTGGGGGACCGAATGGAAGAGGAGAATTGAGGAGGCCATGGACCGAATACGGAACAGAGAGCCATAGAAGAAGAAGAAGAAGAAGAATTTCTGATTGCGACTGTACTCCATTGCTATGTTCTTTTAAAGGCTGTATACAATCAAAGCAGCAACTGGCTCTTAATGGCATCATTGACCTGATGATGGAAGGCAGCAAGGACCTCTGAAATGGCAGTAAATTTCTACCAGACTACAGGGCACAACAACCCAGAAGACAGCCGTCTTCAGATTCACTGCTGTGAAAACCTCAAATCCTACTTAATCTACAAATTCCTTACAAGCTTACATATTATTAACCCTAACCTCATACTGCTGTTCATTTAACCTTTAATATGTGTTCAATGTTTATCTCTTAATAGAAGTCAGAAGGACAACCTGAAACAGCTAGAAGCACAAGAGGAGCAGCGGCTAATACGGGGCCAAAAAGAATACCTTGACCTTGAAATTCGCAAGTTCCGTAGAAAAAAGTTACTCATTTTCCATAGTCTGGAGCAGGACTTGCTACGGGAGGTAAGATCTTAAGGAGGAATGTGTCTTACATATCGTGACCTGCAGTGACTCAGAAATAAGTTCTGTGCATTGTATCAGTTTTGCTGGACCATTATGTTCATCAAAATATAGTAATGTCGATGATTTCAGAAGGAAGATGTTTTCAGTTTTCATGTTAGCGTAATATGACCTTGTTGCAGCTCAGTAAAAGAATCTTTCCTCACCTGTGACCCTAGTATTATGTTGCTGTCACATAATTGCTAGTGGCATGTTCATTCATTAAGTGAACTCTTTGTATTTGATTGATTAAAGTCATAAAATAAGCTTAGAACACTTCCAGCTAGTGTCTTAGTATTTATTCTTTAAGAATGGCAACCAAGAAGCTAGGAACTTAGATTGTGGGCATTTGACAGCCATGTTGATTTTATGTATCAGTACACTACAGGATGAATGTTCTTATGATTTCTTGCTCATGATTTAGAGAAATTGAAGTGCATTTTATTACAGAGATTTTATGTGAATCACTTGTGAAACGTGACTATATTGTTGCAGGAACTGAATAAGCGCCAACAGCAGCTGGAGCAGGCACACTCGATGTTGCTTAGGCATCATGAGAAGACTCAAGAGCTAGAGTACAGGCAACAAAAGGCTGTACACCAGTTACGTGAAGAGCAGATCCAGAGACAGCATGGCACTGAGCTGCAGAACCAACAGGATTACATGCAACGTTCAGAGCGAGAGTTGCGGAAGAAGCATGCGCTTGAACTGAAGCAGCAGCCTAAGAGCCTGAAGGTGAGTTGACAGTTGTAACCATTGTACTTCAGAATCAGCTTCTTTAATCCATGTTTTTTTGCCAGATCTATGAGTAGCATTCATGTATGTTATCTTGGTGCAGTATCAGTTTTATCAGTTGTGGTGTGAACTGTTGACATTCTTCTTCTTCTTCTTCTATGGCTCTCCGGTCCATATTTGGTCCACGGCCTCCTCAATTTTCCTCTTCCATTCGGTGCTCTGTTAGGTCCGTCTGTCCGAGGCTTTGATTGAGGTTTCGAAACATCTTCCTTTTTACGGTGCAAGGTTGTTAGCCTTGCGACCAACCCCCAACCTGGAGGTAGTGGTAGTGGTAGTGGTAGTCTTTGATTGGTCTATGTCTCCAGAAACATTTTATGCCACTAAAATACTCTGTTTCATGATAATCAATGAATTTTTCACAATTTTATTCTATATTGCATACCTTTGTTCTCCTTATACGTCTAGCACAATTGTACTGTGTGTTCCTAAAGGTAAACTGGTAAGAATATGGCAGGTGCCTACGGAACTGAACATGCATGAGGTATGCAGAGACAGGTTATGACTTGGCACTAAAGCAGTCGGTAATAATACTGACTGATTCTTTTCCAGTCAGTTACCAGCGATTTCTCATATATTTGGAAGATACAGCACTACTACCTGATAATAACAATTCAAAATGAAATGTTGGTCATTTTGTAAAGTATGGTTACTCAGCAATTTTGAATGGAGTATGTATCAGTAAAGGCGAGTATTATATTTAAATTTGCTGAAGGGACTAATGGGACCTGTATGGGGTAAAGTAAAGTAAGTAAAGTAAAGTTTGTCCCACTATTCGCCATGTAGGCGTTTGGGGTGAGTGGAGGTATAGCTCCTCTCTTCCTTGACCTCGGCACTAGATGGGGGTGAGTGGTCAGCATCACGCCCCGGCCGGCTTTACCCCCGGGAAAGGACCCCGGTACCCATTGTAGAGGAGGCTGGGTGGGCCCCAGAGCCGGTCTGGACACAGAGGCTAGAGGAAAAATCCTCTGCCCCCGTCGGGGATCGAACCCCGGTCGTCCAGCCCGTAGCTAGTCACTATACTGACTGAGCTATCCCGGCTCATTTTGAAATATAACAACACTTTGCTGAGAATTGTAAAATAGAAACTTGCACCTGAAAATTTTAATACTGTAAGTAAAATGGAGAGGAATGTAGTTTCTGTTATTAGAAGTGTTTTAATTGCACATGTTTAAAGTCACAAATATTATGCATGAATGTAGGGCATTTATTGCATTTCATTTTGCCATTGTAAGTGTAGGCCTGCTGTTACTGTTTGTGGAAAACAAGTCTGTCTTCTTCAGAGAGATCGTGTTCAGTTTTGATGTAAACTAGTGAGCATTGTTCATAGGTTATGAACTACTGATAATAAAATTATATTTTTGTTTTAGCAAAAGGAGATGCAAATTCGAAAACAGTTTCGTGAGACATGTAAGATACAGACGCGCCAGTATAAAGCACTCAAGGCACAGATCCTACAAACAACAGCAAAGGATGAACAGAAAGCAGTGATTAAGAAGTTAAAGGAAGAACAGCGTAGAAAGCTTGCCCTGCTCGGTGACCAGTACGAGCAAAGCATTGCTGAAATGCTTCAGAAACAGTCGGTAAGAAATTAAGATACTGTAGACGCCATTCCTTAACACTGCCCTTACATCCTTTTGGATCTGTTGTATTTTGGAATTTGTTCTGAAGTGTCTGTCCCATTTGTTTTAGATGAGTTTTAAGTTATGGAACATTTTTAATCTGTGTTACTGTAACATAAGAATAATCTTCATGATTTCCAGTAGCTTATGTAAAGAAGATGTGAGATTTCAAGTTCTTACAGCATTGGGTATGAAGATGATTTGTCCTCTGGGTTGTTTTGCTGTGCGTGTCTGCAGTTGACCATTGTTGGAAATTGATCACTTTCAGAGGCCATATTTAGTACAGAAAGTATAATTTTGTAATCTCAACTCTATTTGACATACTTAAAGTAAAAAAAATAACATTTTTTGGCGTGCATTTCAGAGGAATGTATAGCCAGCTTCGTCTCTCATGGTTTATGTAGTTTTAAATTTGTCGGCATAACTACATAATTTTGTGTGGTTTGTTATATGACAGATTCGACTGGATGAGTCACAAGAAGTTGAGTGTCAGCACTTGAAGGAACGATTGCACTATGAACTGGAGATCCTGATGGCATACCAGTCCAAGAATAAGATGCAAGCTGAAGCTCAGCGAAATAGGGAGCGGAAGGAACTGGAAGACAGAGTGTCTGTCCGAAGGGCATTACTTGAGCAAAAGGTATTGTTAAGACATATGCTGCCCTGATTGCAATTTGTTTTTTGATAATTATTTATTCTTACTGTAAATAATCTTTTAAATAATATGATCCAAGTATTAATAGATTATACCATATATAAGTGTTCCAAAACTGGTTTCCTGCCATAAGGTTATGGGTGTGTCACGAATTTTTATAAGCAATCATATATTTGCATGTTATATTTAGAAAAAGGCAATATCTTAGCTTTCATAATTAGAATTCATAAAAAACACACAGGTTCATCATTAGTAGTTATTTATGTCTGACGCGTGTTGTGTTTTGTTTTCATGTGCCTGCATTCTTATAGGGCAAGGATTTATATATGTAAATCACCCCAGTATGCATAAAACCTGGTCTTGAATTGCTGGTTGTGGCCTTTCCTAAATGTCTTTTTTGATGATAGGTTGTGAATCTTTTCTTTATTGATTGGACTTTGGTAGGTTAAGATTTATGGAAACCTTTTTCTTCCTGGGCTGTTTTTTTAATTTGAGCTTAGATATACAGGAATGTATTCTTATCACTAAGTAAGATATGAGGATCTCATGGCAGAGGTTATGAAAATGGCTGTCTTCTGGTTTATAGCACCATACAGTCTGGTGGAAGTTTCTTGATATTTCAGAGGTTCTTGTTGCCTCCATAATCAGAATAATTGTCACCTGACTACACAATGCTTCAACCCAGAAGACAGCCATTATCTTAATCTTATTACATTCATAGTTTTACTGTTTTATTTTTTTACTTCGTGACCATTGTCATGTACAAGATAGAGAATGGAGGCTCCTTCCTTTTATCATCTGTTGTGTGGGTTTTCTGGTCAATTTTAGCTTATGGAATTGTTTTGTACTCTGCATTTTATGTTGGCAACATTTCAGAGGATCAAAACGACCTACAAGACTGTACATTATCACAACTCGGAAGACTACAACCTACAGACAGAGACTACATAAACATTCAATAACTCATCAGGGCCAACATAACACTTAACAGAAAGTGGATTCTTTCTGTGAAGGAATATAATAGTGAATGGTTTCATTCTGTATGAATTTCCTTCTAAATTATATTCTTGATCATCATTACTTGTAAGTGTGTTCTTGAAGCAATTAACAGTGATTCTTATTCATTATGGCAACAGATGGAGCAGGAAACACAGCAGTTTCTTCAGGAGAGATCAGAAAGAATCCGTTTACTTCACGAGAGACAAGATCGTGAGCTGGAACAGTTTGATGAAGAGTCAGCTAGGCTTGGCTTTAGGTTTGTCCCTTTGTTTTAAGAATGTAGACTTCATAGTTAGTACCATAAGGTATTCAGAATATACTCTTCCCTTCTGCAACCTGTATTTGCTAATGTGTAGTCTATTTTTACATAACATTTAAGGTACATGGGATATGGATCACATTAACTTTTTCAATACTTTATATAATATGTTGATTTTAAATGGGGAACAGATTTAAATGCAAATTAGCAATGGCTAAAATGTAAGGGATCAAACTATAAATTATATTGACTGCATTCCAACAGCAACGTATTGGACAGTTGTTTACCTGTGGAAACTTTAACACATTTTTATGAACATAACCAGTTTGCTGGTTTTTCTAGTTTTTAGTCTGTGCCATTGTGTGTTGTGTTGTTTATGTAACTTTTCTTTCTTTGTTGCAGTGCATTGGCCATTGCTGAGGCATCCAAAGAGTCTTACCCTGATGACGAGAGTCTGTCAGGTAGCATGCTGAGCCTGGCACATAGTAACAGCTCAACGTCTTTCCCGCCTGGGAGTCTCTAGCACTGATGCAGTCCTCCCTGCCCAATGTAACTGCCAGCCAAAATAAAGTCATTGTAGAAGTATGTGCCACTGATGGGGAATTGTTCTCCAGTCAGTGTGCAATCTATAACAATTGTTGCCAATTGTTTTGATACATGATATTTGCATAACAGTTAGTGCTGCAGGTTTTGGTTATCACCAATAGGGCTGTTGTAGGCTTGGTTCATGTAGGTACATCCCTGACACGGCTCGTGATGTGTGTCACATATTGGTATGACATCCGTCCCATATGGATACCCTGACATGCCTGTGATGTATGTGAATACCTGGCATGGCTCGTTACCATCAGTATTGCTGACTCGTTATCACTAGCAATACATCCCTACTTCTGGTACCTGGTGTGATTAGCAACTTGTCATGTACTGTGGTACTGTCATATATGTTTGTTGGATGTTTTTTATAACAGTGGCTAGTACAGTGTATCTTCGCACTGTAATTTCACGTGGGTAACCCAGTGTTCCTGATATCATGTTCTGTTATGAAAAAGCTAATGGAAATGTTTTTGTGGCTGATGCAGAATGCTCATGTATGTCCCTAATCTGTTGGTGGCCATGTCCCTATTTTATGAACATTCAGATTTATCCCCATCCCGAGGGTGTTCCAGGATAAATCTGTAAGTATGCCCTTATCCTTTGGCTAGCCTCATTATTCATGTTTACAGTGAAGTATTCTCGGGTGATCGGCTTTGTGAAAATGATATTGTAATTGAACATTTTGGAGACCGTCTCTGCCTCCATCAGGTGATCGCCATGAAACCTTGAAACCCTACATTTGTGCTAGCCTATTGCTTGCACAGAGTCACTTACCTGGTGGCCAAAAGTGGTTACTTGAAATCTTAGACATCTGCAGGAGTGAAAATCTTGATTGTTATCATATGGGTCATGACACCATTTTGTCTTGTAGGTGGTTACCAACATTTTGGAGGAATATATCACCTGTATGTTCAGTGTACATGTTACAGGGAATTTGATGTCCTTGCAGTAATGAAAATGTGGATCGTGATCTTGGTTATGACACTTATAGGTGGTGGCTCCCAGCATTTTGGAGGAACATCGTGTCTGGAGGTAATATGATCCTCTGAAACTTTGGTAACCACGTATGAGACTGTTCAGCATCACTAGAAAGAAGACCACTATCCACATTTTCACCACTATGAAAGACTCAGTATTTCCCAAACTCTGGAGTTGGAGGTGATATATTCTACCACAACATTGGTAACAGCCTAAAAGTCAAATCTAAAAGTCTCACAACCCAGGGGACCGCAATTTGCATTTTCACCATCATGAAAAGCTTTAATGTCATGTAGAGTTTCTCTGCGGGGAGATAACACATGCAGAATTTTGTTACAAGTGTTTGTTTTCTCTTATTACATAGCATTGATATATGGTTTGTAAAGCAACTCTGATTGTTCATGTCCATAATGGGAGAATATCATAATTACATTATGTTGTGATCAGTGGATAGTTTGGTACGAGCTGTGGCAGTATGTAGATAAATCAAAATGATTCGTGGTGGTATGTCCCTACCATGTCAGATGAACCAAACCATTTAGACTGTAAAACACCAAAAAATATTGTACAGGCAATTGGTGCAATTTTTATTTTGTAAAAAATTTAAAATCCAGTGAGTGGGCTGTAATGAATTTTTAATTGTTGGTACCTCTAATCCTGTTCTTTATGGTTGATTATGATGCTACCAACATGACTAACATAACCAATTGATGGCTGTCAAGTGTAAATACAATGTAGCGTGAGGCTTGTTTGTTTTTCTAGGTCTTTTTTGAACTGAAAACCAATAATAAAGTGCTTAGCATCTTCGAATTTTTAGTGTGTTCGACAAGACAAAACTACAATGTGCCGATTTTACAACAATAATAAGTATGAACAAAAACAACAGCATCAGTGATGTGGAAAAATTGTCAGATTGCAAGTAAGGTTATACAAATCGAATATATGATTTTTTATTGTAAACAGATGTGTATTAATGTATCTTATTATATATATTATACAGTAATTAATTAAGTAGTTGAAAAACGTATGAATGCAAGTAAACAAAGCTTTTTTTTGCATCGGTGAAAGAGAGTAAGGTGCATTTTGTTTTATCATCATAAAGTCATTGCAAAGGGACTTTATTGCATCCGATCATTCTGAATTTTTGCCCTTCTTCCCTGTTCCCCTTCTTGGGTAATATAGTGGGTAAATTATTGAAATGACCTAGTCTTACCTTGGCGGCATTCCACAAGATGAAGAGCACTGTGCTTGTAATTGAGTTTATTTATTGTGGGTGCTGTCATCAATAATAAAACCAGTTTGTAAATTATACCACACAATTACTGCAATATTTGTAGGGCCTACTTGTACTCAGAATTTGGATGTTATGTTCCTTTTAATATTGGTCCAGATTGGGATGTGGAACATTCTAATTTCTCTCACCTTTTTTTATTTTTTTACATTTTTATATATTCAGAACAAAATACAAATCCATTGTTCAGCTTTTCCCTTTCAGTCCTTACATGTTGCTGTTTTCATTTGTACCAAAACAGTTTTTTTTAACTTTAATTATTGGCAGTTTCTAAGTGACACTTTTTTTTGTTGGTGCATGTGGAACAGCAAGCACGAACAGTGCAGGTATTGTGTGGGTTGCAGTACACTCTTGATTGTATTAATGGCTGGATGGTAGAACATGGACCAGGAATGTGCCTACCAGTGTTCTCACTATCGCTGTGGTATGCAGTAATGCAAAAAAATTGGCGGGAGGACAGTATGCTTCCTACAACATAATACCATATTTATACAAACTCATAGCATTCTACAGTTAAAAAAACCCTGTATTTAAAAATTACATTCAGAAAGCACTTTTCTGATGATTACATTGTTTCTTACATTCAATTGCATTATTCTAATTGCAAGTACTTGGTTCCAGTTTTAAAGATTTTAAATGATTACTATTTTTAAGCATGTAAACCACTTTTATACATGTTCATTAACTTTTTTAACTTGACACTGCAAACTAAAACATTTGTCGCTGAAATAGTACATGTATTTGTGTACATTCATGGACAGTGTACTTAATTTATGAAGATGCAGTATACACGGGAAATTGAATTTGAGGACTTAGTTGAGAAAATTATGGGGCCTGCAAGTATATGGCTGCCTTGGGAAGAATTTGTTTATTAAACATACAAAGCAGGTATAAGTTTGCCATGGATTTTTGTAAGTGTGGTATTATGTAGAAGAGTCGAGTTTATTTCAGTATGTTTTTAAGATGTGTATTAACCACTCAAAATTATTTTTACACACTGGTTATTGGCCATAGTTGTGTATACTATCAATCTATCCAAAATGAAGCAACTATTTTGAATTGATGTGTCACGTGTGGTTGGGAACCAGTTGAAAAATTGACACTTTTAATTTATTTTTGATAAATGGTATAAGATATTAAATTATTTATTTATAAGACAGAGGCATCTGATCTTCGGATTGAATGGAAAGGACACACTTAAACTGTGAAGACATGAAATTTACATCCTGAAATCTTTAACAGCTACATATGCCATATATGGATACAAATTAACTTTTCTATTCAATTTGAATGTGTGATAATAGAATTTTTTGTGTCATAAGCTTCTGAATTTAAACTTTATACATTACTAGCCTAATAGAACTTACAAAGAGCATAATAAATTAATGGAAGAAGTAATGCCTGTATGTTTAAAATCATAAATAATTTAGAAGTGTCATTCTGTTCTGCATAAAACATACAAGTTATGGATGGAAGAACATCAAATCTCTCAAAGAATTACAATACAAATTTATAAGAACAGTTTCTTGCCACATTTCCTGCCCTGAGCCACAGAAACCAAGGTAGCACACCTGTTCTTCATAACAGTGCCATTATGTCAGCCTCCTGCTGTTAAGTATGTAGTGTGAGCAACTGTATGTCCTGATTTTGTAAATTGTTGAGCATTTCTTCAGTTGTGTTAATATTTTATATTATTTTCTTTTATAAATTTTGAAGATTTAATCTCTTGTTTGCTAAAAGTTTTCATAACTTTGAGTAAAGTAGTCTGTTAAGTCATGTACCATCAATGTCTGTAATGTTTATAGCCATCATATACAGCCAGGTTATGAAGACTTCATGCCAAGCAGACTTAATAATCTGTCCATATAATGTGGAATCTGCTGTATTTTATCTGTATCCAAAATATCCATAGCAACACATCCACTGAAGCCAGAGTAGAGTGTACACAGCCTGAAGGTAAAATTTGGCTTGCTGTCTCTTGTGCATTGTGTTTTTGTACTCAACATTTAGGAATGGTTTGTTGGATGAGCAGATGTCTCCTTTGTATAGTTTTCAGGGTTGAACAAGGTAGCCTATGCTGTTATTTTAATCACTGTACTTCCCTGCCATACTTCCCTCCTGCATTATCTTCAACAACGAGCCCATGTTGGACCCCAATAGTGGAGAAAAAATCTCTTTAAATATGTAAAAGGTTTATGACAATGAAGTTATTTATTTTTAAAAGTTAACGCATTATATTAGGTCTTACTGGTCTGTTGCTCCTCAAACAAACAAAGGAGATAGATAAAACATGTAGTAGCAGACAATTTTGTAAAAGCAAAGCCATTTTCTTGTTATAACTTTATCATCAGGTTACAAAACCGAAACTCAGAAAAACAAAAATGAATAACTTGTTCAAATAAGCCATCGAGACCCAAAGTACTGTATATATTGAAGTGATATTCACAAAACGTAGGAGAATCAAATAAAAGAAAAATGGATATAAATTACTTCTTACTATTTCCCCTGACCTATTGTCTTTCCCCTTTATGTGTAGGCCCAGTTGGTACTTTTTACAGAGGAAATGAAATGCAAAAATCATGTTATAAGCAAAAAGTGATTATTTGAGAATTTCATCACACATCATTTTTTTAAGTCCCATAGGCAAAAGATAGTTATATCCAGTGATTGCTGAGGTGGAAGGCTACAAAATTAATTTTCTTCAAGAAATGGTATTAATTAAATATTCTATAAAGCTACTGAAGCTACACTACCCACAAAACTTCACCATTGTTGCATTACTGTAGAGATGTTGGAAGTGGGGTGCACACTCCAGGAGAAGAGTGAAAATAATACATGTGTAACTTAACAGGTGCATATACAGTCTAATCTTATTGGTGACCAAGTATGAGATTTCTGAATGTTAAATTGTTTTCAAAATGTCAGTTCTTTACAGTCTTCTTATAGGATGTTTCTGGGGGATTGAAACATACCCTTGTCCTCAAGGGGAGGAGGGCTGAAATGTCTGTCACTCAACATCTGACATCCCTGTGTTGTGACAAACTATTCCTATTCTTCCCTGTTGTCATAATTTATCTCATCAGAGGTACAGTACCAAGTACCACTTGATGTTTTTCCTCAGTATTCTCACAGCATACTTTGCTATTCCAAATGAGGGACCCTGTCCTGGCCAACAAAATCCAGTCTCCTTCACCTCCTATCTCCCATAGATCCCGCGTGACATTATCTTCCCATCTACATCTAGGTCTCCTTCCTTCAGGCTTCCTGACCAATAGCCAGTGCACACCTCTTGCCCCGTCCATGCACACCACATGCCCCACCCATCTCATTCTTCTCGACTTAATCACCCTCACGGTATTGGGGGAGGAGTACAAATGTTTAAGCTCATCATTATGCAGTTTTCTCCATACCTCATCCTCTTCTCTGAAATATTCTCAAACACCTGCAATCTATGTTAATCCCTCATAGTGAGAGACCATGTTTCACACCCATAAAGGAGGCTAATCATGAAAACTAATTATCAGACTTAAAGGGTACAGATATGTTATAATTCTACTAATAAAATTACTTTCACAATAGAATGTATCACAATACCACTGACTATTATTTCCATATAGAATATAACAGTTAGTTCATAATTTGCATGTAATAATTTAACATTTGAGGAAGGAAGAATCAATTGCCAAAGCAAGAACATAATACCAATTACTTTATTAATATGTTGATGAAGAATAAGGCAAAACCTGCAGTGAGATTTTACTGTTTCTACAACTTAATTTTCAGACAGGATCATGTTACCTCAATTATAAGGAACATTGAAAATAGCAGAATAATGGAGTGAAAAAATGTGAATAATACATGACAGGAATCCTAGAAAATTGATAATACATGTAATTGATTACAAGATGACTGCAAGGAAGCATTTGTGCAGTCGCCAAGTAAGGATTATGTATTGTAGAGTTAAAGTACGGTACACTGATTTTGAAAACAATAATTCAAAGATGGCAGTAAACAAGTTATGCTTACATGGTTTTGCAGGTGTCTTGTCACATATTTCCATGTTTCATTGTGTGCACAGGATATGTGGTAGTGTCATCTGTAAGCTCACTGGTGTTCCCCTCTTTCTAAATTACCTTTTTAATATTTGTTAGATAATTTTAATTGTGTTCACAGAATCTGCTTGTCAGAAGATATGAATTTGTTTCTGAGTGTTAAATTCAGGATGCCACATCTATCAAGTAAGTACATTACAGCATTTCACAATAGTTGCGAGTTTAAAAAATATGAAAATTTCTGTCATCGTAATTTATTTTGTTACGTTGTATATTGCTGATAGTATTATTAGGAATGTTTAAATATTTCCATTAAGACCTATTAGAACACAAGAATTTTAGACCATATATGAAATAGTGCTAGTGTTGCTTGTAACATGCCCATCATTATTGTATGTGAACTATTGATAGAGATTTATTACATATATTAATATGACCGATCAAAGTTGGTGGGAATGAAACTTTTTCATGTTGGACAGTAGCACAGATCAGATTTTGGAGACTACTGTCTTATCCATGAAACTTCTAATGTTTTGTTCCTTTGTAGGATCTCAAGATTGTGATGTCACTGTGGCATTCATGACCATCATCCTGTCTGAATAGGAGGCTGGGTGCAGTGGATACCAAAACTGTTCTGGATGTGGCTGAAGCATAAATTTCCTAGCACCATGCTGAAACTGTCATTGTTTCATGACTAGAACTGTAAGTGTTGATGAAGATAGTTAATGTTTTCAATTCCTGAAAAAATATAATTTTAGGTTGTATCTGCTATACTACATGGAAATTCAAAAGAAACTTTTTTCTGTTCTTCTGTTAGCTTTCACGACAGCTATAGAACTTGGATCAATGCACAGCTAATACTGTGCACTTTTTAAATAAATTGATCTGATTAGTTTAGTAGGAAATGCTTATGTATGATCATGAATTTCTTCACTCCTTACTTTAACCCTTATTATCCATGCATTACAGCTATAACTGTATGTCACACTAGCAAAGTAAATCCAGTCCAGCTGGCCACCCCATAGTACAGAAGTAAGTCCCCCATTCCCATGTAATAGTGGTTAATCAAGACAGTTACAAAAATTCTGTTACACATAACATAAACTGTGGAACTTTGGATGTCAATTCAGAATGAAGCAATGAAGTAGACTAGACACTATTTGACTTTATGATCTTAATTTTATTTTATAGTAACAAAGAGTTGCGTAGAAAACATGTACATTGTGTTCATCTGCCTTTGTAACAATTATCTAACTTATTATAAGTTAATGTTTACATTTCTGATAAAGAAGAACTGTTTATATTTACTTGAGGTCATTTTATTTGACAAACAAGTTTTTAATATTAGAATTCATTTGGGATGATACACCGACATTGCTATGTATACGCATTTACCAAAAAGAAATATCCTACTAATGGTTTCTAAAAATTAATTTGTACATGAAATGCTGTTCTCACTTCCCTTCTGGAAAATCACATCTTCAAAATATATAATAAAATTGCTTCGTTGACTCTGGTTAATATATACCAATTCCATGAATATTTACAATGTGTTATGACCAGTAAGGTCAACACAGTTCCTCAATAACAGGAACTTTACATTATAACAGAGCAACAAACAGAAAACTATAATACATTTATTTCCAACAGTCCCACAATCATAACACGCTTCTCCTTTATTTTTGGTACATTGTTAACTTAAACATCTGGACCCCTGTACCCATCAACAGAAACTAACTGCTGCTATTGGTTCCTGTTTTGTAAAGAAATTCTCTCCAATTTACAATTATAAGCAAAGATTTCATTGGAGATACTGTTTCATTCTGTTCTAAAAGATAAGAAAACATAACAAACGTTTTTATATTGCACATTCATAACTGTGAAAATGCATATTTGGATACATGACAGCAGCACATAATGGAGTGGTAATATGAAAAACTATTCATGGGAAGGTTTTATTTTCAGACATTCAGGAGCTAGTGACAGAGGTTACAGAAAATTCTGAGAAAATCTCATATTTGTATTACACTTTTTTAAAAGTTATTTTTATTTTGATCTGAAAAAATCAATGAGCTTCTCATGTACAGAACAAAACACTTGGCATTGTTCTAACAAGAACCTATTTCTTTGGCATACATGAAATTTTCTGTCATTTAATGAAAAATACATTAATAACTTGGTGCATAAAATGTCTGCTTTTAAACACTGTCAGTAACATTTGCATACAAGTAATATCCTAAATATATTTTAAAAATAAATTATGAAAATCTGAGGGAGTTTTATGCCAGAATTTAACGTAAACCAGCAATAACTTTATTGCAGTATGTTGATAGGTCAGGACGTTCCATGTAGCCATGTCAGATGACAGGGTCTATTGTGTAGGAGAAAATGAGGTGGGAGTCAGTATGCGAGAGTGCATCTCCCTGATGAGTGGAACAGTGTAGGCAACACACTCATCCCAACCTGGTGAACGCCATGCTGCTTCTCTGGTCTCCTTGCGTGCCTGCAGATCTTTGTAACCTGCACACAATCAAGTAAGCAATTGTAGTCATCTACAATAAATAAGGTAGCAGTTTTCTACTGATGGTTAGAGCTACTTCAGATATATTAAAATTCAGTAAGAAAGGAGGTTTGACTTGCAATGCAAATTTTGAAATGCAGTATATAGTCTTTGCTTATACTTCCAGCTTTGTGCATACTTAGGATACTTAGGCGACCTGTTCTTCAGTGCCTTGAGCATCTGTGGGTCCCAACTTTCGTTGGCTTTGATCTATCAGACAGTTGGTAGGACTCCTTGGACGAGTGATTAGCCTGTCGCAAGGCCTCTTCCTGTACACAGGACAGCACAACACAGAAAGACGCGGACAAACATCCATGCCTTGAGTGGGATTCGAACCCACGGTCCCAGTGACCAAGCGGCACATGGCCCACGCCACAGACCACGCAGCCACTGTGACGGCGCTTTGTGCATGAACACATTAAATTTGTATGAATCAATTTTATGATTATGGGTACAGTTTTGGCACAGTGTAGTGCTACTGGGGGATACAGGGGGTAAATTGAGTGAAAATGAAATTATGAACAATCTATGTTGTATGCTCATAACATTATTGTGTAAACGGAAATCCTTTATTGAAAGACACCGAAATTTCAAAGCTAGATAACACTGATAACTGATGTACTGCTGATTTAAAAATTTATGTGGAGGATCCAGTATTGGCAATATTACATGTCAACTTGTATTACCAACAAACACAGACGACACCATGATACTAGAAAGTGAAAAGTGGTGAAAACTAGAGTTTCAAAATTCTTCCACTCCCCAGAATGGATTAATGTCATGCAGTCTGAAGAACATATATGCATTTCCTTACACCACACATGATGGACATTGTAAAGTCGACCAATCTGGGAAAAGAAGGCTGCAAAAGCTTCATCATTATTACGTCTGTAGTTGATAGCACGTGCCCAGTTGTTTCCCCATTCAATCATGGTTCCAGGTTTGAGATTATAGCTGCGCATCTCATAAAGGTTAGGACCTGTTCGGGGTTCAATAGGTGGCCAATAGCTGAATGCCAGCAAGTACTGAAGGTGGCGTGATCGTAGGAGTTTTCCTCTCTCTTTCTGTAGTGCTACAAAATCCTATAAAATTATCATCATTATTGAAAAAGAAATGGTACAAGTCATGTCAAAATAAATATACAACAAATGATTGGATTTTTCTTTCCCTGTGTACTTTTAAGTGTAATGGAGCACTCCTGACTGCTTTCCAAAACATTTGTTTATTATTATTTGTCAGCTGCATTTAACCTTTTCTTCTGATTATATTAATCCTCCCCACCATGTCAAACGACTTGTTACTAGGCTTGCAAGCAAAATCTTTTTTTATATTTTCAGATGTCTTTTGACTGATGATTTTTTTATAGTTAGAAGAGGCAAATAATTACTAATGGGGAGGAGTGTATCTACAACAAACAAGTACTAGTATACAGTAAAATTACATAACTTGGTTAAACTGTCCAGTAGACCAAACTGTCTCTGTTCCTAATGTACTAACTCTATTTCATACCATTTACATCGGATGAGCTACATACATCATGATAGTATTTAGTGATGCCAACACGATGCAATTTTAAGTCAAATTTATGTTAAACTGAAATGGTTCTTTAAATTAACTAAAAACACCTGCATATTTTTGTTTCCCATGCTAGCATGTGGTGGGAGGATCACAGTGCAGTGACCCTGGCGGTCAGCCCACACCCTAATTAACAGTTTTATCAATGTAAGCTAAGGATAAAATAGGAGGTGACTTGTCATACTGATTATGATAATAAAGATGTAACAGTTAATAAACTATTAATAGTTAATAAAAGAATCCTATATTAAGAAGGAAGCAAAAGATGCAGATTAACATAACTTTAGCATTCAATCCAACCTTAAATAACTGCACACTGCAATGCACAATTATGCAGATGACACATTTGATTCTGAACGGTATAGCCCATCTGCAGTAGGAGAAGTACATTCACAGAATATACCATAATTTCTGTGTTTAACACATTCAAGCTTACCTTATTTTGTGCAAGTGTCTTTTTCGCATTGTCGATAGTGGCAAACCCCCCGGTGTAACGCCACAAGTGTAAAGCCTGGTCTAAATCACCCAATTCCACTGTCCAACTTGCAACTAACTCATAATTTAACTTATGGGCATCAATCAGCTGCACAGACTGTTGACTAAACAGAAACAAAAACGTATATATATCTTACTTGAGCCTTTTAAATTACACTGCCTAAATAGTGCCATAACTTACTAGTTTTCCAAATACTTCTCAGAAGAATCAGCCCTCACATTATGGGTTTGTAGTTCATAGATAATTTCCTTATCAGACAATAATCGGGAATGTGATTCCTTGGTGGGCTCTATACGTCGCACCAACAGTTTACTGAACCACCCTTCATTACTGTCTTGAACTGATGAGGTTGATGATAGTAACCTGCCAAGTATGAGAAGTACAACTAATAAATACTACAAGGGTCTCTCGACCTTCCCTTGAAAGTTCCATATTCATTTGCATTTGTACAAGAGGTTATACACTTTGGTAAAGTTGCAAGTGTATTCATTTTAGAACAAGCGAAAATGTAACACTGTATTATTAAGCTGTACCTTTGAGAGAAAAGTGTTACTGAAGTTTTAGAAAAATACAGATTTCGCAACTTAGCCAAAGTGGCCGCCATGTTGATGTATGACGTCAAACGCTAGTGGGAGCAGGGTTGCCAACATGGCGATTAGGACTTCCTGTTCGTTAAGGATGTAGGAGGGTTACATTAAGATATGTAGGTTTTTCAATGCCATTGACGTCTTCCGATTCCAAATATATAAGTGACGAACCAGATTGCAGGAAAATAATGTTTTGATTTTCGGAAAAGCGAAAGATTAACCGTTAAAGAACATTTAGTACGTATTCTAAGATGCATTGTACATAGTGTTGAATTCCGATCGGACTATTCTACATGACCCTTTTTTCTTCTGTGATCACCGATTATTGAATGTTTTTAATATCTGTGCTAAATTGTTTCAGTAAAAGAAGAGTGGTGTTCGTTAGGTTTTCTCTTTGTGTTTTACATTTTAAATAGACGCATAGAGTATGACAGGGTTATTCGATCAGATAAAGTTGTTGTTTGAGCAGCAGCTATACACAAATGTAGTTTCTTTGGTGAGCTTTTATTTAGTGTTTTGGATAATAAGTCAAGTTATGATGTATAAAGTGAAGCTTTCGCGGTGACTGAAGTAGATTATAGACTCTCGGGATATAAGCCGCGTCAGGTTTCTGATGTTATAGTTTATTCACTTTTCAGCCACCTGACACGGTTTGTAGCCCGATAGTCTTCCATCGAGTCGTTATGTTGAAGTTTTAGGTTATCAGAATAGAATATAAATTTTTATGTCATAAAGCCTTCATAGCACTAAGCCAAGTTTGTAGAACATGCCAGGATACAAACGTGATCATAATCTGAACTGTCATTGTTTTGGATTACAGGCAAATTTAGTGCTCTCTGTAAGTGAGCACAATCCTGATATTTTGACGGTACCAGCAAAGTTCCAGACATATGTTTATTATGGGGACTCACTGTTTTACCTTGGCCAGTATCGAAAAGCAGAAGGAATGTATCGAAAGGCTCTTCAATTTAAGAAGTCCCTCCTTAAATCTAAAGGAACTGCAAAACCGCAGGACAACCAGAAAGAACTCATGCCAGATATTGGTAAATGTAGTTTACTGACAATAAAAGAGAAACTTTCATTCTGTTTTATTTCCAGTTTCTAACCGTAATCTTAAGTGTTTTTGCAATTATAATTTAAAAGTGTGTGTAATTATGAAGTTAGTGGAACCATGAACTGCCTCAAAGTAATATACTGTGATTTTAATTACTATTTATATATTTTATACAGATATAAAATACCAGATTCATGTGTGCCATGTCAACTTGAAGCAGAATCACCAGGCAATTGTGGTACTTCAGTCTATCCCAGGGAAATTGCGAAATGCAAAGATCAACATGGCACTTGCCAAGCTCTACCAACAAGGTGGAATGGAACGGTCAGCCATAACATCATACAAGGAGGTGTTGAGGGTATGGAGTTACCTTGAATTATGTGCTGGAGGCAGCCTGAGTTGACTGCTGTGTAGTATGCTACTGACACTGACTCTGGAGCTCTGTTTTTACTCATCATTCCAAAAAAGTGATTTGGCAGACTTAAAGACAAATTTAATTCTTATATGCTTTGAGACTGATGGTAGTGTGAAACTTTGTTTTAACTCTTTGACTGCTGAGTATTTCTTAGCTTGCCCATGTATATGATTGTTGATACAAATACTTCCAAGTATTTGTCAGAATGTATAATTTGTCACTGACCATATAGATCTTATCAGAATAACAAAAGAAATTGTGTGTGGTACAGGCTGGACTGTCCCAAGTAAAACAGTAAGCTACAGTCTATGCTAGCCCAGCATATCCAGGCATATCAGTCAAAGGGTTAAAATACACAGGATGTTGACATATTCTAGTTGTTAAACATGAATTTTGTCCCCTTCATAAGCTATATAAAGCTCTAAGTAATTACAAATATTAACTTCTTTCAATATGATCAAAATTTCCTTTATGTCTAATGAACTTGTAGGAATGTCCTTTGGCGTTGGAAGCAGCAGAAGGACTACTGAGTCTTGGAGTAAAAGGAATAGAAGTAAATGCTTTGGTCCTTGAAGGTACATCAAACTTTGGAAACATGGATTGGTGAGTCATCCCATAATCTGTGTAGATCAGAATTGAAAAACATCTCCACTTTCATGATCACTTTTCAGTTCTTTTATACAGGTACTGCAGACTTATGAACATTCTTTTCATTGCTCCTAATAGGAAATAAAGAACACATTAGCTAATCATTATTTTAAATTTTTAGAGACAAATATAGCGTTTGTTTGGGTAAGTCATGTATCTGTTGGGTTCTTGGTTGTGAACAGGTTAAATTCTTGGATTAAAGCCCATTCTCATCTTCACAATCGGGAATACAACCAGGCTGTTTCAACATTCCGGCAGTTGGATGATCGATCGTCGTTACGAGACAATCTCAACCTTCTAGTTGCAATGGGCGAAAGTTACTACTACTCTGGAGACCATAAAAATGCTCTCATTGTGCTGCAGAGGGTGAGTACTGATGTGCCATTTAAAGAGGCAATTTCAGTCTGAACATCTGATTTGTCTCTTGAAGCCATCGAGTTCACGTGCATAAGCATATATTTTATACATGCAATGAAATATCAGTAAAACAAATTATGTTAACATAAATTTATTAAAGTCATTTTTAATAAGATTTAAATTTAAGAATTAAGAACCAACTTTTGTGATTAAATTAACAAAAAAAAAGGGACTTCTCTTTCACCCATGATTTTCTTATGAATGTATAATTTTGTCTGTAGGCACATGCTTTGGATCCATATATGCAGCGGGGACTGGATGTTCTGGCCGCTCTTCTTTCAAAGGAGCATAAGCATAAAGAACTGGAGAAACTTATATCACCCAGCATTACTGTATCAGAGTATGGCCCAGAAACATGGATCGCAATGGCTTATTTTCTGTATGCTACAAAGAAGAACTCGAAAGCTGCCTACTTTGCTCAGAAAGCTTGTTTCCTTAGTCCACGAAATGTGGAGGCACTGATCCTCAAAGGTGCTATATTGCTGGATCTAAAGAAGTTCCAGGATGCGGTCGTGCACTTTCGAGAAGCGATGCAGGTGTCACCGCATCGCTATGAGCCGCATCGCGGCCTCGTCGATTGCTATATTGCCATGCACAGGCTCCGAGAAGCTCTCACTATTGCTAGTAATGCCTGCAAACAGCTGGGACAGAACCCCAGAGCCCTCACTGTAAGAACTTTGTTAATATGTCTTACACTTCTTTATTTATTTATTTCGTTCTTAAGTTCATATGACATTTCTAACTGGAAATGAGCTCAGGAATAAGATCCGGATGTACTGACACAAATTCATCGGAATTCCTATACGTAATTGCAGAAGCGTTTATTTTCGACTTATTGAACTTATTGAAATATTGTTTTCTCTACAAATTAGTATGACTTATTTGTCAAAAAAGTGACGCTCTTTTGTCTTGTGGTGCAGTTGTACGCCTCAGTCCTTATGAAAGATCCCGTCACTGTGTGTAAAGCAAAGAGCATTCTGGAGAAGGCCCTAGCGCAGGATGAGATGTATTTGCCGGCAGTGTACCTCTTAGCTGAGATATATGAACAGGTGAGTTGGCAGCATCCATGTCTTTGCTCCTGTTACCTTATGAAACGTAATGTGCAATATGCATATAAAAATATAAAACTTATCGTTTACAAACCTCTCTGTTATGTAGGTCCTTATATCATAAATCAGGATAATTTATAAATGTCTGTTTATCCATCACATTTTTTAAGGGACATTTGGATTAAATTAAAACCTGAAAGTAAAAGATGTAACGTGCGTTAGTGCTCAAAAGCTTGAAAATCCCCCAAAATTGGTATGGGTTGAAATCTTTAAGCAGTTCAAAACATTCTTTTATATCTCCATTTAATATACAAAGTCAGAGAGAAAAATTGTTCTAAAATGGTTCTCTGTTAATGTGATGCTAATTTTTAGGAGATGGCATTGGAGTCTGCCATATCGTTATTAGAGAAACAGGTTGAACTGCAGCCGACTTGCAAACTGCACCAGATGCTGGGTGATCTGTTGGCTCGTGTTCATGAGGAAGAAAAAGCTTTGGACCATTATAGCATTGCTCTAAAGTGAGTACATTTGAGTACTGCGGTTAACAGTCTAATACTGAACCCCACCATCAATTCCTTAAATACCAGTGCAGTATATTGTTTTTGCAATATAACAGTTTAACAGCCCTAATAATTTCTAGGATTTGTGTACAAAATGTAATTAAGTATTTACTATTTTCATTGTTCGTGTTCCTATTTCTGTCCTGAAATTTAATACGTCAGTAATTTAGTACCATATCTTTCTTCCAAAATTACCTTCATATTTGTTGCCATGCAATTAAATGAATATTTTTAACGCAGTTTAGATCCGAATAATCGGCGAGCATTGGAAGGAATGCACAGGATAGATAACTCGTCAAGCAAGTTGGACACCTCATATTATATGACGGTGGGAGAGGAAGAAGGAGGTGACACCACATACGAGAGGATAGCAGACTCTGAAAATGAGGTAGGCCTAATGTATAGACTTGTATTTAGTCATCATTCCTGGTCTAGAAGCGATATTTATCGAAGCCAACTTTCAAGTGTATGCAGAATTTATGCAGATACTGGTACCCCACGAGCATTGGTGTGAAGGATATTTCGCAGCGATGATTTTAAGCCCCGCCACATCCGAAGCATGTAACAACTTCTATTGAGGTGTTATATGAACCAGGTAAAGTTTTTTCCAGACGATTAGAAAGGCTTCTGCGGTTTATGGATTACATTTGTTCACAGATGATTAATTTCACAGTAATGGTATCACCAGTACAAGAAATACATACCGGGTGCAAACTAACTTTTGTCACCTTTGTTACCTGCATTTCATTGTGTGACGTTCGATAGTTGCTTGTTATAGATATTTTCTGGAGAATGAATTATAAGATTTTAAAACTTTGCATATGGTGCAGTGTATTAGAATATAAAATAAGTAAACAAACAAACTATTAACACTGTAAGAAGACACTAGTGCCAAATGCGTTTCAACTTCAAGAGGTCATCATCAGTGGCAACAGGGAAATTAATTGATTTAACCAAAATCGAATCCTGGGGTCTCGGGTTCGATTCCCGGCGGTGCCCGAATTTATAACTTGTGTTGGGCAAGGCCGTGGTCTAGGTGACACAGAGTTTTCCTCCGGGGGCTTCCATGGCATCCCAACAATTACTCCATTCACACACAGAAGAAGGCAATGGCAAACCACTTGTGGATCATCTGCCAAGAACGTATATGAACAGGTCCCAGTCCGAGAAAAGGATGGAAGGATCCTGTTCATAATATGTCGCCTACCTCCTGTAAAGGTGACGGCGTAATAAAGAAGAAGAACCAAAATGGTTTAGAAAACAAATAATGAAGTAGAGAATTTTACAAAAGCATATCAAGCAACACTACACTGGACGTTGGTTTCGCAGGAGTTGAACTCTGCACTTAGCTATTGATCCAATGGTCCGGTGGCCATAGCTGGTCTGGGGCGAAACGCACGCGTATGGCACTAGTGTCTTTTTTATAGTGTTAATAGTTTGTTTGTTTGCTTATTTTATAAATTATAAGATTGTTTAGAAAACATTTGTCTTCAAACAAGTCGATGAATGTGGTTCCGACACACCTTCATTTTGGCTGGGGTTACAGAGTACTTGAATTTAAGTTATCGCGGAAGGTGGATAGCACGAGGTGGGCCGTGGCCGTGACCGTGGCCAGCTACATTACCACATTTGACCTTGCTGGACTGTTTTTATGGTACTGTATTAAGTGTAAGGTGTATGATACAGGCAAGCTGGAAATGAGGCAGCAGTTGTTACAGCAAATAATGAAGCTGCTTCTGCAGTGAGAAACAAAATGGAAATATATCAAAGTATGCACAAGAAGTAGGCTACTGGCAACATCTGAAAAAGTATATCATGTTCTGTTTGTTTATGTTTTGTTTTCTTGCACATCCGTGTGTATTAAGACGACCATCCAGTTAACAAGTGGATTCCAAGAAGAAATCTAACAGGATTTCAAGTACATATTGAGATATCTCCTGAAACAAGAAAACAGAAAAATTTTATGTGGAGGTGAGGTTAACAGAAGAACGAGAAGTCTCGCTTTTTTGTATATAAAGTCAACGCTATCCGTTGATCTCCTCGATTCTTCTATGCTTCATTCTCGTTATATGATGATAAGACATAGTTTTGCTCAATTTGTCCACCAGGGTGAAGCAGATGAGAGCGAAACTGAAGCTGTGTGGTCTGATATGGACCTTGAACTGAACAGCCAGTGAGATTAGTTCTTGTTTACCAAGAACTCGGTACTAGTTCGCTTGTAGGGAAGACCGTGGGATGGCTTCACGACGACGGCACGTTCCTGCTGCAAGCTGCTGCGTGGTATTCAGAATAGTCGGCCCCCCAGTTTTCTTTTCTGAACAACCTGAGTTGAAATAATATAAATAAAATATTTGATATGTAAGAAATTATACCGTTTTTAAAAGAAGTCATCCTGAATTTCATTTTCTGTACCATTTGACTTTGGGTCCATCAGATATCCAGATTGTAACATGTTTCTATTGTGTTCTGATCAGAAGTGTATGAAGTGCAGTTTTTAAATGTTTATTCGGATTGAATTTGGCTGGAAAGTTTAAAGGCATATAGCAGATCAAATTATCTTGATTACACGACAAATTCAGTTACGGAACAGGTGATATTGTACAATGCCTAGATATATTAAATAGCATTTGTCTGCAGATTGTGCGATTTACTTACAGAATGGCAATATAGAAATTGGACTGAATCTCGTTGCAGGCTCAAAAGAGAGCTGTGTGATGTTGCTTTTAAATTAATTTATGAAATGAAATATTGAGAATTAATTTCGTGTGTACTTATTTATTTTGCAACACATTGTTCACTATAAGCCGAGGCTTCGTGTTAACTGCAGGATCATGATCATTTAAAAAAAACAATTACTTTTTTTCATGATTCATGCTCAGATATAAGCATGGTACATTAAATCACAAATTATGCATTTAATGGTATAATGTAACATTCTTCTTCTTCTATGGCTCTCAGGTCCGTATTCGGTCCATGGCCTCCTCAATTCTCCTCTTCCATTCGGTCCTCTGTTAGGTCTGTCTGTCCGAGGCTTTGATTGAGGTTTCGAAACATTTTCCTTTTTACGGTGCAAGGTTGTTAGCCTTGCGACCAACCCCCAACCTGGAGGACCAGGGTACCTGTCCTAGTCTGACCTCTGCCCCTCGACCAATCTGGCTAGGGACACCCTACAAGTAGCTATGCTACCGCCAGCATAGCTCATGGGATCACTGAGGTACTCAAGCCCCACCACCACGACAAGGTGCAGGTACCATTAAGTGGGGATAATGTAACATTGGCTGACCATAATTTTAATGGAATATACATCATGTCAAAATATGGTGAGTTTTAAAAGAATTTTTTTAGTATCTTAATCCTACATTTTATGTAATTTACGTATTTGTTATGAGTCATTTTCAAGAGGAATTTCATGAACTTCAGATTGAGCATTGTAGGAGTCAACCAAAACAAAGGAGCTGTGTAGCTCAGTCAGTATAGCAACAAGGCGTAATTCCCGGGAGGGGTGACAAGATTTTCCCCTTAGCTACCATGTCCAGATGTAGCGCAGCACGCCAGCCTGCTGTTGAACGAGTAATGGGGTTAAGTGGCTGGTGCATGCAGCTGACCACTACCTCTGTGTAGTGCTGATATCAGGAGTACTGAAATAATATCCCCACTCCTGAATACGCCTTCATGACGAGGTGCTTGAGCATCAGAGCACTGTTTCAGAAAAAAGAAACGAAACAGGCTAGGTCGCGCGCTTGACGCTTTCGCTCACAGATGGCACTACGATCTTCCGCCAGGTATAACCCGAGTAAGTGGTTGGGAATCCGATCGTGTTACGTCTTTTGATTTAGTACTGAATTAAAGCAGGCACGCATTAATTACAGAAGAGCGTATTTTTCGTGTTAAAGGATGTACGTTATTGCAATACCGTGATCAATGAAATATCCTAAAGGATATTTTCTATGGTTTTTGATCAATTAGTCAGTGAATTCGTATTGCCAATCATGATAAGAACAAGTACTGAGTTTAGAAATAGGATAGAAATCTCACAAATACGAGCAGCGAACCCAGCCCTGCAATATTAAGAAGCCTACCCATACACTGCAGTTAATTGAGTGTTACCATAATTATTATAAAGCAGTGGCTTCGAATAAATGTTACATCTCGAACCAAATCTGGGGACGATTTGTGTTAGTATTTTTATGCTAGCTGAACCACAAATTAGTCTCTGAATAATGGATCTGCAAGGATATCAAATTAAAATTAACTGCGAACTTTGGTGTTGGTTTTTACTGAGCGTTTTGTTTTCGTTTCGAGAATTCAGTTAGTCGACAAAAATTGTTATAATTTGTCTTCGAAACCGTTGCAAAATATGTATGTGAAGTAAAAATTATACCACTTTCTTAGCGTGGTACGCGGTAGCTAGGTTTGTAATTGTAGTGTAGTAGAGCTTTGTTCCATACTAACATTTGTCGGACAGATTCAGGTTCGAAATACCAGGAGGTACCAGGTTCAAATTTCAGTCGAATTACCCATTTATTTTCATGCCTTTTATAATTTTGTTCAGACGAATCCTGGAATTGTGTCTAAAGTATGGAACGGTCGCCTCCTTCCAAATTCTTTCCTACGGTTGTTACTATTCGTAATCATGTTCCCATATCATTAGACTCTCTAAATTGTGCTGGAAAGGGGTGTTATTAGAATTAATTTTTTTAAACTTCGCGGAAAAATGTTGAATATCGAATTGAAGAAATAAAGGGGCAATGAATGTTGTGTCGTAACAGGAGAAATAACACGAATATTCGAAATCGGAATTTTAAACGAATCCATAAATAAATCTACAATTGCCTTTCGTTTCTCGTCAAAACGGCCTATGAAAGCCGAAGATTGAATTTATTATTATTGTCGGTACTCATAGATATCAGCACCGGATAAACAAGATATACGATCCTCAATTTGACACAACTTCGTCCGCTTACTTTCGCTTTCCTCATAATGCGCTTGTTGGTGTTAGGTACAGATATTCGTTTAACCACGTTATATCACCGCAAAGGGAATGCATTTAATAACAGTGAAGTCTCTTCAGGAACAGAAGCAGGCTTCTCTCATTTGATGTCATGGGCTCCGCCAGAGTCCCCCACGCTGCCAGCTGTGGGTACCAAGAGGTTCTAGCGGGCTGACGGGCCAGCCAGCCAGTCAGTCGTATTCACGCATTCGGCCAGTGTAGTTCGGTGCTTCACGGAGATCGAATGCGACATGTCGCCGCACAGATGAACAAGTCAAGACTGTCTTGTGTTCATACTTAGTATTCATTGTTGTTTCTTGTTATTTCGTCTCAGTGTTGTTGTTGTTGAGGTGAGTACATATTGAATAGTTTATTCTGGTTTGAAATTTAGCACTTAATGATGTGAGTAGGTCTACATAAAATCCCATTACTTAAAGTCATCTTGCTCTCCAAGAAGTTCCGGTGTGTGATTCAAAGTATCTGTGGCTTCACAGACTTCGATCTGCTGACGAATCGTGAACAAAAAAAGTCGTTTTCTTGCAGTTCCCTTTCGCCACAACACAGCAGCACCGTCTTCCGTGTTGTAAAAAATTATCGGTAATTCCTGTTCGTAAGCACATCTGAAACTTTTACCAGACTACACGGCGCAACAACCCAGAAGACAGCAATTTCCTTACTGGCCGCTGTGATAACCTCAAATCTTATATAATCACAGTTATTTGTAATTTAATATTAGTCGTTTAACTGCGTTCTTGAACTTTCCTGTGCCTTATTTTTAGTAAAGAATATGCTTGTTTTATTTGTGCATTTTTATAACAGTTTTGGATTTCCGATTTTGACAATATTGATAGCTTGTAAGATTACGTACCGGCGTAGCCCAGTATTTAATTTAATGAACGCTATTACTAACGTGCTTACAGGGAAGAACAACATTGTTTATTGACGAGACATCTCGTTTTGAGCATTTAAGAGTTTCGTAACAATCGGTGATTGGCATATCGGAATTTGTTGGACAGTGTGGGTAGAATATTATTGAATGTAAACATAAAGTTATATATTGGGTGTTACTATAGCAACCATAGGCCTAATAAGTTTCGACAGCCGTGAAATTTGATGTGAAACACTCTAAATTTAAGAAAACTAATTCACTCAGAAGGAAGACACGTTTCTTTCGGTTTGTTTTACGTTTATAGCGGATTAAACTCTCAAGGCTGCTCGTATCAAAGATTTGTTTTTTATTTTTTCACACAAAATCATTCTGCCGCGCGTATTTATACGCAAACCATTTTCTGTTTGTGTTAGATCTACATCATATCGTTTTTTCTGAAAAATTTTCAAACCTTAATCTGTAGTGAATTGACTGAAGACAGATTAACGAAACTTCAATGCGTGTTTGCGTGCCCTGTTTTTAATCGCCACTGCACATCTCCTCGCGAGCTGGATTTCTCATTGATCGCTAGTGTTTACAGTTCACTTTAGAATGTTGGGAATTCCAACCTCAGACAGGAGTTTTGAGTATCTCATTACTTGCTAGCAGTGACATAACGAGAAAAATACGTTTGCGAAGCTGATGGAAGAAACGAACATTGATCGATGAAGGAAAGAAAATAAATGTATTTAAACTAAAGTTAATTGTTTTGATGAACATTCAAAACCAGATCTGTTTATAAAATATAGGCTGTATTATTTTAAACGCATCACGACAATAATTACCTACTACAGCATTAAAATAAAGCCAGTCCAGTTGGATTTTGTGTGTGCAAGGCAAATGGTTCTAGTCACTACACAGATAACAGAACTCCTACCAGATGATTTAATTCTTAGGTCATCGGGGTCTGAATGTGGTAATGGAATTCTTGTGATTGCTTTTCCATTGCCTCACAAATCGGCTAATGCCAAGTAGCATCGTGCTTACTCTGACCGGCCCCAAGAAAAACATCCCACCGTCTCTGACCGTCCTGTGGCATGCTTGTAATATGGCGCCGTGTCTTACGTAAATAGGAGAACGTAGATTTTAAAATAACTAGTATCGTTGTCAAGATAAAATCCACGATAAAGGTAATTAATGTTTATTGAAGTCTGTAACCGTGGACGTATTTAACGACATTGGTTTATTTTGTACTTTTCTTTTTCTGACCTCTCGAGCGTGTTTTGTTGGTATTCCTGCTATATACCTGCTAGGTAAAGCAGGTGGGAACTCCCCCTACCCGCTCTTTACCCTACAGCTAGAGGGAGGGGGTGAAAATATGTAAGTACTCCGAATCCATCAGGACCGCTTCATCGTTCACTAGAGTTGAGTGTCGTTAAATAAAAGATGAACCAGTCTATTTATGGATCTGCCCCATAAATCCAAGCTGACAACAGAAGTAAAAGTTCTTGGCAGAATTCATACAGCTTATTACCCTTTTACAGACTTCGTCCTCCAAGTATTGCGTTTTATTTAAGATGTACATTGGAATTTATATTTATAACACTGCAATAAAATGTAATCTAGTTTATGCCACTCGTAAGTAGACGTATTTTTGTGTCGCTTGTAGTTGTAATTATTTTAAGGATAATTGTTATTAATAATAAATTACTGTTGTCACTGATAATTAGTAGTGATAGAATTTTCTTTTTTTGAGGAATTGTAGGTGCAAATGGAAACGTGGCAATTGATCCAGAAGGTAATGCATTTAAGTTTGTATAAATCTTAGGTATCCTCAATGTCTCAATACACGTCATCACTTCCTCGCAGCCCGTTAGTACGAAATTTCTTTCAAATCCGTTGTGTTGTTCTGGATATTCGAACGTGATCCTCTAACGTACATGAACATACAGTAAAATTCCGTACTTAAACTTTTGTAGATCTACTCACTGAATTTGTCAAATGATGCACAAAGCTTCTTCTGCAACACACCTGATCCAACAGCAGCTTTGAATTCAAATTAGTATTGTCAGACATCGTCGCTGGGTCCTGTACATAAGCCTATTGTTGGATCGCCAGGTCAGGGTCCTCGGTTGTGCCCCAAGGGCTGCCAGATCATGCACATAACTTTGGCAATGTGCATGATGTGGTCTGCGTAATGTTTGTTTTGCTCTTTCCGAAGTCATTCTGCTTGCTGTGTCATTACTTAGGTCAAGACTCCCTTGTGTCAACTTTTTTGACGTAAATACGTCTATACGGAAGGGTCATTCGACAAAACAGCGTTACGAAGATGTGTAGGATCCATACCAACAATGTGTAAATATGGACCGACAATGGTCAGCTTTTATATGAACTCCTGCGTGCATAACAATGCAAGAAAAAAGAATTCGAATTTCTAACACAGCCTGCAACAATATTGGCTGAGCATGCCGTAAGGCTCTTTTCTCATTTATTATGCATGCTGTATAAGTTTGTTTCCTGAAATATGAGATGAGCATAAAATTTTAAAATTGATTTTTAACAAATCAGATAAAGTTTAGCGTTATGCAGTTTCGGGTTCATTTCTGTTTGATTACATTAGGTCGTTTTGCTATAAACTTATTCGCACTGCTGCAGGTGTTTTCGTAATACCAGGAACTTGTGAAATTCCAGCGCATAGGTTTCCCACTTCCTGTGCGCATGAGCCGTTCTTATCGATATCCTGCAAGTCCCCTTTCCCCTTGTGCCGGCGTGCCTACGGATTAGCGGTGTCTTGGACTTTCATTCAGTATATGTGGGGCACCTCCGATACGTCATCAGTGACGTAGCTCACGACCAGACTTCGTGACTCCCTCAAGATTCGAACCGTACTTTTAACGTTTGCCTAGCGAAACGTTTATTCACCCTTCTTTGGCAGAGGTAGCCTTTTGTTAGCGACCGGAGTGCCGTGAGGAGTCAGTCAACTCGTAGACGTGCATGGACATCGGTTTCACGCGTTACTGGGTTGATGGTGATATAACAGGCGACCGATAATAAGTTTGCAATAAATTATAAATTAAAACAAGTAATACTAAACATGATAATCAAATTAAGCACGAACCAGTGCAATGAAACAACAACAACGCAAGTGAAGATGGCTGTCTCCAGGGTTGTTGCGCCGTGTTTATCGACGTTTCTGAGGTCCCTGCTGTATCCAACATTAGGGCGATGACAATGCAAGTATTTTTGGCAAAAGATTGCTTCTGTATGAATAAGAAGATGGTTTTATTTATCCTGGTCTGTGGCATCTAATTCAAAGAAGTCATAGTATCTCTCAAACAGCCCACGACATAGGATTTTAAAACCAGCGTTTCGGAGGATCGTATCGCCTCCATAATCAGGGTATCAGGGTGAAACGTGAAGTTGTTTGTCCATTGAACTATGGGTGACCATCTACAGGTCCACTTGACCTCACAATTCAGGCCCACATGACAAAGCCGACATATTCACGTCGTGAGAACCTCAAATATCAGAGATTTGTATCTCTTTTCTGACTGAAACTTCATTCGGGATTCGACCTGAGAGTAAACCGCGCTAGAGAACGCGGGTGCCCGCTGTTTTATCCGTCGTGTTAATTATAAAACCTCGAATCCAGCCAACAACCTCTGTGGGACGACACGTGGTGTGCTCCTATAAGTCGACACTCATACCGGAAGTGCAACAGTATAAGAAATCCGCTTCACTGAATACGTTACGGTTGCGTCAGAGAGCCATTCCCATTGTGGCTGTTTCGTTGTGTTTTTTCCTCCCCGTTGAAACTTTTTATTAGCTTATATATTTTTACAGCTTTGAGAAAGTTGCAGTCTACTCGATGTAACTGTTACTTTAATGAAAATAATACGAGTGGCAGGCAGCGTCTGTTGGTAGATTATTTTGAATGCGTATTTAATTTCATATTTGTTTTGTTTATCTCTCCCATGTATTATTTGTTCTTAAGTTTTAATCATTGCACTATTATTTTGGACCGGATGGAGAGAAACCGTTTGTAGCCGTCCAAATAGTATTTAAGAATTCAGCCTGAACGTCAAAGAAAACACATCTCTTCACTGTTGCAAAGATCAGCTTGTTAAAGCGCAATGGTGACTATATGCCTCACCTGCTTCAACAACCAGTAATTCTGTTTTTATTTGTTTCGTTAAATTCTCACTGCAAATAGGGAGAATTTTGTCAAACAGAGTTAACATATCTTCGTAATGGTGAAAAGTTATGGTTTCTTTGCTGTACTGACAGAATTCATAAATAGTGTTTGGGCGTCAGCTTCAAATAATCTCTGGTTATGCAGTGAGAATCATACGAAAGTGGGATTTAGTCACCATTGCGCTTTTAAGGATTAAAAAAGACACTCATGAATTGTTTGCATTGTTTCTTTTCTCCCCTCTCCCATTTTTGTTTTCACTCATTTTGACCAGAAGTAGTATCTTACGTCATCTGGGATACGTCAGGAAAGGATCATGACATACCCAAACATTGCATCGTCATATCTGCAAAGCTCTCAAAGGCAGCGTGCTGTGCGTATTTACGATTTGCACAACACTTCTCTGATGTACCGATATTAGCACATCGTGAGATGTTACTGGGAACTTGACTGCAAGAGACAAGAGGCCGACTTGTTGAAACTTATCGACGTCTGTGTGTTCCCAGTGACCCGACCTTCCCTGTAGTGTGACTTCGCACTGCTAAAACAAGAACTACAGGTGTTGGTTTGCATGGTCCAACCAACCCGGCCTTCACAGAAATCGACACAAGGACGTTGGTCTGCCTCCTAGGTCTCTTACCATCTGTTTTCTTTTTCCGCCCATGTGCTATACCACCCGGCTTACAAGTTCATTCCAGAAGTTTCCCCAAGGAGGGACACGACAGTAGAAGCCCTTATATCGCGCCCCCCCCCCCGTTCCCCCTTCCCCCTAAAGCTCATTGATTGAACCCTTCCGGGAAGGCGTGAACAGAGCTGTGCTGGGCCCGACCTCACACTTTCGTGGGAACAACTTTGCTATGAACGGAACAAAATTTGCAAGCTTTAGTGCTTATTTTACCACGGATTAAATACTTTGTTTGAAATTAAAAATTTCTGCATTTCAGAATTTAGTTCCATTTTACAGTATTTCTTGAAAAGCTAACAATTGCTCGGGTGAAGGAACCAAAGGTTCATTGCCATGTTTACTGGGTTAATTAATTCCATCTCTTAAGAGAGCTTGCGTGGAAATGGAGATGCAACAGAAATTAAGACAACTGCTGGTTCAGTTTTGTCCAGACGGTGATGATGATGAAGGATTGAGTGTGAGGTTGACGGGAGTTTTCTGCCCTTACATTCGGAAAGGTTTTGGCTCTGTGTTTAGTGATGCGAAAATACAGTCTATGATTCGTATACAGCGTGTTTAAACTGCCACGATAAATCAAGTCTTCGTGTTGTTACGTCATAATTCCTGGGCTTCGTGTACTTTGAATTGTTAAATTTCTCAGTGAAAGCGGTGTATCTGTCACTTTTCACACTTTAGTCTGAACCAGAAGACGTGAACAGACTCCGTTGTACTTGGATGGGGCCAGTGCTGATGGAAGGATGTGGTGATAAACTGTTATTTTATTACGGATAGGAGAATAAGTAATTGCCGAATTGTTTTGAGGGTTTTGCTTAGCATTTTGATAGAAATGTTGGGATAATTTAATAATTTTGCGTAACTTATAAACTGTTAGAATCATGTCAGTGATACGAATGTACTAAATCTGTGGTCCACATAGTTTTGAGTCAATTGAAATGATTTTTATTTGAGCATCTTTGTTTGGTCTGGCATCTACAGTGTTAGAAGTAATTCCAGTCAAGTAAGTGTTGCGATTTCTGGAACTATTTCTTTGTCCTGTGTAGTGAACCGTCGATCGTCGTGTTCTCGAAAGCGTCTTCTCATCTTCGTCATTTTGCAATCAAAACAGACTAGCAGGCTTGCCATCCTAGTTTCCCTCAAACAAGAAATGCCAATTGACACGTGAGAACGGTATTAGGCGAACTTCTCGCCGGTACATGAAGTGAGACGTTCTAATCCAGACGTCACGAAAAAGAAATCGGGAAGGTCTGATTTCGATCCCCATCTTTGCCAGACAAATTGTGTTGTAACTGTCAGACTGGAAAAGCAAATTGCACAAATGAAGGTACAGGACAACAATTTCGAGACTACGGATTCTTTAGTTTGGGGATAATCTTGATTTAAAATGCACCTCCTAAGATCGATGTTCATAATAGTGTAAGCATGTTTATGAATTTGCGATTTAATGGGGGTTTTATACTCTATCACCAAGAACACGCAAATCTAAAGTTCTGATATTCCATTTGAATAGTTGAAATCTGTTAAGGAGTTTCGTAACTTTATTATTGATCTCGCAAGTGAAACTGCTTTCTGATACAATGATTTTATCGGGGCCGTATTGGTCTCGATAGGTGTATGTAAGAATGCATACATAAACACACAAAAGGGTAATACTCATGCAAATAAGCTTCCCAGAATCTGATATAAATGCTGAAAGTTATATAAAATTACTTATTTTAATTATTTATAGTTTTATTTCTGTAAAACGTGTGCATTCTGATGGACGCGTTTGACATATGTTTTGGGGTACCTGATAAGTGACTTTTGTCAGCGCCCTGGTTATCCGGATCGATTTTGCCTGATAAGATTCTCACGACGGAGATGATGTTGGATGATGGTCTTCTGGGTTGTGGCGTCATTTGGATTTGTAAGTGGGTACCTACGTTTCGAAGGAACACACTGCCACCATCTTCAACTCTTAAGGAGACACCCACCTACGAATGCACCCGGCGTCACAACCCATAATTCCACTATCGATAGCTTTCGTCATGGTCTGTCACAGTCATTCGTAGCTTGGTTAAGAACTGAGAATTTGCAGGCGAGTCAGTCTCTTGCACTTCGCGTTGTTTCAGCTGTCGTCAGGATGGAGATAACGCCTGTGATGAAGGAGACACGGTCTTTCCGCCCGTTCAAGTCGAGCGAGGAGTATTTGTACGCCATGAAAGAGGACTTAGCCGAGTGGCTGAACATGATGTACCCCGAGCTGGACATCAACGTCGACAACTTCATGGACCGTCTGGACACGGGAGTCGCACTCTGCAAGGTATTAAGCATCCACTCAAGGCTCTCCATAATTACTCCCGCAAGTTATCAGCCACCTAGAAATCACCTTACTGTGGTAACATGTGGTGTTGCCTCACGTTGGTCTTGTTTTAGAATTTTAAACGATAGGTGAAGTGCAGGACAAGTGTCAGCTGAACTTTTCTGTGGCCCAGTCTATTGGGACACTTTGAGGTAGAAGGATTTAAAATAGCTACACGAAAGCGGTGAGGTAAGTGACGTGTGAGAGAAAATAATGACAGTTGACCTACATAGACAGGAGACCCGATGAATATCAAATCTGATCAAGACTGATGCAAGGCGAGATATAGTTTGCGTGTGTGTCCACGCGCATGTTTAGACCTTCCGAGAGAGAAAAAAGTTCCATTTAATTTACCTACATTAGGCCTCTTTCACCCTGTGTTCATTTAGTATTCGTGAGGATGAATATGTGAAGTCAAGTGTCATGGCTGTCACACGCTGGAAGCCCTGTGCACTGCACGCCATCAGGTAGGGCAGAGAATGCGACAGAAATGGAGTTTGCGGTTTCTGAAACGGAACTCCAGGATGTTTCTGGGGATCGAAGTAAACCGAAAGAAACAGTTGAAAAATTGGATACAGTTTTGTCCTATGTGTTGTTGATATAAATGTAGTTGATAAATCCCTTGAAAATTTCGGATATTTTGGATCGATGATAATGAAACCAAATTGCATTCACGAGGAAATTAAGCGCAGAAGAATCGGTTGTCTTCTCTTAACGCGAGAGCCCAAGTTTTACAAACATACAAGACAATAGATAAAATTGTGGTTTGGTACCTTTACGTGTGGTCAGATTACATTTAATGGTATGAGGAAAAAACAAATAATAATTGCAGGATTTACTATTTTATCGGCGATATGAATAGAGACGTCGTCTTGTGGATTTTTATGCCTTTCAATACTAAAGATTAATTCCAAGGCGTTGGCTTACAGCCAAAATTATGCAAGCCGCAACTACCCAAAAGGTCGAGAATTATGGTATCTGAATGTGAATTGTGACATTTTCAACATCACCTACGTGAATGTTGGATTTTTTATAGTCTATTCATGTCGATGCTTGCTTCAAGATTTTAAACAGCTCATTCGAAAATGAAAGCTATATTTTGACACATGCTGTTTCTTGAATAAAGTGAGTCTTGCAGATATGGCAAATGAATTATGTCTGGTGTTAAGTACGACTGCAAAGTTTGTTCTAGTGTGGGAGTTATGTTTCTTGCAAACTTCGTTTCCTTGAAGTAACAAACTTGCAAGTGAAGCGTTTTTATGGTTACACTGAAATTTATTCTTTTGTTTCGCGAATTCCTTTTGTAATTTTCTGCACCTCATTCCACTTGCATACATAGCTGAGGAATGTGTCACGCGTAAATTAGTGAAAAAGTTGAAGTTCCCGGGAAATTGTGTCGTTGTTTGTCTGTACACACAAAATTGTCATACGAGAGACCTGCCGAACATAGGGTTCTTCTTATACGTGAGCTATTGTGGCGGAAGTGTGTTTCTGTGAGGCCATGTTTAGGCAACGTCACGTGCCACTATCATGGCTACGTGAACAGCCGGAAGTCGCATTGAGGTTCTGTGTGTGAAGCGGCCAAGTCCTCTATGAAGAAATACGAATGTAGGATTACGCAGTTGATAGCTGTCGCATCTGATCTCATCGGCCATCAACAGACGTCTGTTTTTAGCCAACAAACATCTCGTAAATTTCCATGCGTTTTACACCCTTATACCTCACGTTTATTTCCACAAAAGAAAAATGACCTTTCGTCCATAACGTTCTTAATAAAGGCGGGACAATGTTCCCACTCCCATAATGGAAACAAGATCGTGGTAGACAATGAGGATCAGCTTGTAATTGTATCCCAGCCTCTCTCTGTCACAGCCGTTTCCTTGTTACAGAAATCGAGTTCGGAGCTGCTGGTATGCAGATAATTTTATCCGCCTTTCCGTTCACGAACACAGTAAATGGTATAACGTGCGCTCGAGTGGCTCTGAAACGCCATGTAACCCCGTGCAAGGTGTCAGGCGTCTTTGCGATAGTAAGTTTGGTAGAGTTTTTAATAAAGTGCCATGGAATTTCGATTAATTCCCCTCGTTTATAACAGGGCATTTCGCGAGTTGATAACGAAGGGTGAATGTGACCCCACCCCGGTCTTCAGGCTTTGGGAACCTCTGCTCCAAAGGTGAAAGTGGCTGGTTCAGTATAGCAAAGCCGTGTTCGGCGTTGCGCGATGTGTACGTAATGTACACGACATTTAGTGATTTGGCTCTACTCCAATTCCAGACAATGAAAAATGTCCAGCGTAATAATTATTCTTATTCTTATTATTATTATTATTTTGAAGGTAGTTACATTAAGAAAGTTGACGATGGGGAATAAGAAATACACACAGGATTTTAGTAGGGAAATCTCCTGAAGTCTGATTCATATGTAGAGTGGGAAAGTGATTGGTTAATTAATGACACTGATATTAAATTGGATCTTGGATTGAATTGACTCGGGTTAGGTTTTTCTTCCGTACAAGAAGTTGTCAATTTATTGCAGCACGCGAATAGGGTGCGTCAGTGCGCAGTGGAGTATGTCCAGAGGCGCCAGGCTCGGCGTCCCAGCATCACGTCGAACCTGACCGAACTGGGGGAGGTGTACTACCTGCCAGCCGCCAAGCCGGGCACCTTCTTCGCTCGCGACAATGTGTCCAACTTCATCTCGTGGTGCCGTCGCGGCCTGTGTGTGCTGGAGTGCCTCCTCTTCGAGACGGACGATCTTATCCTTCGAAAGAACGAGAAACACGTGATCTTGTGTCTGCTGGAGGTGGCGCGTCGCGGCGCCAAGTTCGGGATGCTGGCTCCCATGCTGGTTCAACTGGAGCGGGAGATAGACCGTGAGATCGCGGCCGAGCAGCGAGGTGACGGTCCGGGCGACAGTGACGAGGACGAGCCGTTCGGTCCCATGCCCCAGGTCGTCACCAACGACCTCAAGAGTCTGGACGAGATGGTGAGTAACACGTGCCATGTTGATGAATCCTTTTCTAGAAGTTTGCATCCAGTGGGCTTCAGTAGGTCCTTTGGCCGGTTTGATAAAACTGGCGGTCCGCGGGCCACACCCGGCCCGAGACACTTGTAAGCAGGTCCTCGAAAATATTTACTTTGTTGCGAATTTTACAAGCTCATTTATTTTCCCCAATTCGACGCATAAAAATCAAATTACTCTTTGTCTCGTCTGCTGCTTCACGTACAAGTGCTACTGACTTTGGTACTTTATAGTAAAATGTGAGTTTCACAAGTAAAAATGGTCTCGGATATAAGCTATTACAGGAGCAAATTAAAATATGTGTAACTCGATAGTAATTTGCGCGCACTTAGATAAAATTTTATATCTAGATATTTGCTGTGGAAATTCGAGTTTCTGATCGAGTATTGGAAATGGAAAGTGGCTGTTTGTAGTACCTGGAGGGGTTTCGTGGCCCTTGGGTTCAACGAGAAATCTGTTCTTGGCCTGAGGGAATCAAAAAACGTTGTACCACTCTGCTACAGGATGTTATAGGCTGTATTTATTTCTAATAATGTGGTACAAATGAAACTGAATTTTAGCTAATGGAATAGGCCACTTTTTCTAAATTAATGTTTCAAGATTCCAACATAATAGGATGTGAGACGATAATTTTATGTATTCTTTGTATATTTTTATCTTCAGGTTTTTTGTCGTCATTCTAGTTTATTTATTTCCTTTGTAATTTTTCTGTTCTCTTCATTAATTTATTGCTTGTTATTTCGTGTCTGTTTTGTCTGTGAAAACGTGCTTCACAGTGGATCATTGATCGTTCGGACACTTGTAAAGAGCAGGAACAGTAAAGGTATTCGTTGTGGAGCGACCTGGAGTACCAGGCACTTCAACACGTTGCTGTCACGAGATGAACTTGCTGGTCCAATTAGAGCTCTGTGAAACTCGTTAATAGCACTAGCGGTACAAGTGTGGCGTTAATTACTGCGCAGCTGTCAGTCTGCTAGACATTCTCTGAACTCGTGTTCCTTATCCGTACTTATTAGGGTCTGGACCCTATTTCCCGTGCGTGAAGTCCGGTTGCTAACCCCCTGAGTCACACCTCGGTCATTTTAACACGCACATGTACATATTTCAGACGCTTTAGTGTGCAAATATACACACCCATGAAATGAACACGGTACAGCAAATTCTTTCACGAAGTGAAGTGAATACACTCTGCTGTCTCCAGCTTCGCGCTTCGTCGACTTACGAGCACAGATTGTCGGGTCATTTTCGATAGAGTGCATCCGATAATAGAACACGGGACCTGCCTAATACGAAGCAAACTTATACTGCTAACCAGTGAAGAGTTCACATTGTATTCCCGTACAAAGGGCTAAAAATATTTGGATATAGGCTTGTGAGATATCAAATAACAGAGAGATGGAGAAAATTACATTGACAGACTCGAAATGTGCTTTCTAGCACGAGACTTGTGTAAGAGTTTGGTTAGAAAACAACTTGTAAATGGGTAGGTAGTGTTAAAATGTATATCAAAGAAAGAAGGTGTGAACTGGATTAGGATAGGGTCCAAATGAATCTTGTGTAAACACATGACGAACCTTCGATTTTGCTAAGAATAGGAATTTCCTTCACCGACTAAACAACTTAGCTGCTCAGACAGAAGTTCTGTCACTGGGTCGACTTGGTGTGCTTTCTGTATCTGTTTGATTGCAATACGTGTATTTTGGGGCACCCTGTGATATTTGGGCTTGGCATCATGAATGTCCCGGCCCACACTCTGCTAGCTTGCACGTGCAACACGGGAGTGGCTCCATTAATAATGCACTTAGTGTAGTCTCATTGGAAAATATTTTGTGTGTGGGGCTAAATAATTGAAAATAACCTGTTCGATCCCAAGGTCTTCACCAACTCGGCCTCAAGAGAATGCCTTCCGACGTCTGCTCTACCCAGAATTGTTTGGTATCGCAGGCTAGATGCCTTGTCGATTGTTCCCAGTTGTTCCGTTAGTGTAAAGAATTCTTTCCTTCCGCCGCGTGGCGCGTTAACGCGTTGATGAGGTAGCCGACTACTCGCAAAGGGTTTTGGAAGTGGGTCCTAAGAACCCTTCTCCGTTAGGAACTCACTAGAAAGGACGAGGCTCGATTTAGTCAGGAAAGGGCGGAACAAAATTCTACAAAACATAGGGTAGAAATAAAAGTACTTGTTTGTTTATTCCTGATCCTCCAATTTTAAATTTGCTATTCCAGAGTCCATTTTTACAAGGTTAATATAATATGTGGGATTTCTGGTTCTCACGGCAGCTATTATGATGATGGTTGTCTTCAGGGTTGTTGCGTCGTGTGGAAGGTAGAAGGTTACTGGCGTTTCAGAGATCCTTGCTGCCTCCATCACCCTGATGATAGGTACAGCAAGCTCCAATTCCCACAAGATCATCATTATCATTGTGTGGTTAATTTCTCAAGTAGAACAAGAACACTAGCAGTCTGGGTTTGTCGTCACAAAAAAATAGTTTCCCAACAAAAAGGATCTCAGCAATGCGAGAACATGAGAAATGTTACATAGAAACATATTTTGTGTTTCATTAATGATCTATTTAGTGGCTATATGAAGATGGTTTAGAAATCTTTCTGCCTCACATTGAACATCTATTAATTGTTGCTCGACTTGAGACTTTAAAATCCCAACCCTCTACTTGAACCTCCGAGCAAACGCGTCCTTCTGACAACAAGTGTTTGTGTTGTGATTACAATGAAGAGGGTAACGGTATGAGAGGTACACGATAACGGTGAAACATATTTGAGTAATGGGAATTTGGAAAATTTGTGTTGTAATGTACGCTGTTGTTTTATATGGGTGTGAACCTTCGTTTCGTTCTGATGGAAAATCATAAAATGACGGTGAAGATTTCTGTCTTCTGGGTTGTAACGCCGTGTAATCTTGTAGATATTTACCAACGTTTCCGAGGCCCTTGCTGTCTCCATCATCAGGGCTATGAGGACGGCTCGTCGCAACATACCTGAAGGCTTCATACTCGCGGCTGTGAGAACCTGAGGGTGTCTTAGTGATTAGAAACTTCTAGGTGGAATATTGGGACCTATGAAAGAAGAAATAAGAAAGTAATGAATAAATCTGCACATTTATCGGCTCCAGTTCATAATCTTCTTATCATGTTTTTTTTCAAGATTAAATCAAGGAGGATGCAATGGGCGAGACAAGTAGCACGAATACAGAGTTTCATTCAAAATCGTTGTTGAGAAACTTCAATGGAAAACATTACATTGGAAACTAGCTTAGATGGAAGGGTTTTTAAAATGTGTCTTAGATAAACTGGTTGACACGATGTGAACTTGAAGCATATATTCCAGAGAAGTTTTTTGTGAATACGTTAACGAACGTTTTGATTAGATAATTGCACGGAATTTCTTGAGCACCTGTGAAACAAATTGCTGGATGAAGAGGAGTTGGTTGGTCAGTCAGCAAAGTTCAACTGGCTGTTGGAATACAGAGCCTTAAGTGTAAACACTCTCAACCATCATGCATGCCTTGCACAAATATAACCTCAGAGGACTCTTGTGCGTTATTAACAGCGATGAACATTGCAGAAAAGTGGACGACCTCGAAACAGGAACGCGACGTTGTCTTGGTACCACAACAAACAGGGCCCGAGCACTTGTCTGTCTTTCGTATCTCGCCTCTGCTGAATTGTCTTTGAGATTCATCGAGTAAAATCTTGTTAGCGCACACACGTTTTATGCAATAGCAGTGAAACCTCTCGATTTCTGTCTCTGATGCATGTAGAAGTGATCGGACCGGTACCTGTAGGTTCGGTTACTTTGAAGCCTTCATTGTTCCATCGTTACACACCTTGGTGGGTCGTTGATTGATATTTTAATTCTTTATTTATTTAACTACTCGGCATCTACAGCAGCGGTCCAGTGAAGGATGATATTGAATGGTGAATAGATAAGAATTTTTAAAAATGCGGTCGTGGAATATTTCAGGGTTCTACCCTCGTATTGACATTGAGACACCTAGGAATATCACAAGTAATGTTATCACTTCACCAACGTTAGTACAAAGTCCACATACTTCGACTGCTGAAGTGTTATACCTTAAAAAATACCAATTAAGCCTCAGAAATGAATTGAGCAGTAAGAGGGCATTCACTCATCGTAAGTTAAAGGCGAGAAAACGTGGAATTCGTAATGTATTACGCAACTATTTCCAGTCGTACTCTTACAATCGTTCATTGACAATGAACTGCTAGTGTATTAGCACGCTTCGCTTCGTGTTGAACTAATTTTCTTATATTGACTGTTTATAGACCTAACTCTTGGCGAGGCGACTACAAGCGAATTTGTCGGTCTTCATGGTCACTAAACGGAGGGTTTAGGAAGACACGAGCATACCATTCCGATCTGTCCATGTTTGAACTTGCTGGAATTCGCCTAGAGAGGCTGAGGATAGTCGGCAAACGTTTTGAGATTTAAACACGATGCTTGTAGAACACAAAGGCCACTCCAGTCGGTGATCAACTAGCTCATGTGATAACTGTCGAAGCAAAAGGGACGTGGTTTCGCAAAGAAATGTTCCGTTGTTGTTACTCTGACTTGAATAAAGTTGGGGACGTCGTGAATACTCCGTTTTCAGTAACCGTGACTTTAGAACTGTAGACTGCAAAATTGAAACGTCAAGCATGAAAAACTTTGTGATTTCCAGTCTTTCTTGGAACACTTCGATCTGCAAACGCGGCTTTCGTGACGAAAATTGTGAAAGGAACACAAAATTATTTATTATGCGCCGTACCATTACGACGTTTTGGGGGGGAGGGGAGGTATAACTTTACACATGCACAACCTCGGTACTAGCAGGTAGCATATGATCAGCTTCACGCTTTGGCCGCTTTGACCCAAGGGAAAGAACCCCAGGTAATATCCACTGCATAGAAACCGGTCGGTCTGAGTGTGTGGCTAAGAGAAACATAGTTG